CAATAATTAATCATAAAAATTCATATAAGTTTTTAATATTAAAATTATTTAATATTATATATTTTCATTTAGATCCTTTGAAAATGTTTATCTATATATCTATATTTTAATAAATAATGAAAAACTTATTATACAAAATTCAAAACAAAATGTTTCTTGTAGATAAATTAAATACTGAGGCTTTTAGATTGTAAATAATAAAATGATGATCATAGCATGATTATTATAATTACTTAATATTATGCATTTTCATTCAAGTATTTTAAAAATGTTTATTTATTATTCTAAAAAATTCAAAACAAAATGCTTCTTATAGATAAATGGTTATATATTTTATAAATAAATAAATAGAATTTTTTTAATCAAGTTTGGTTCAGTTTCTAGTATTCAAAACCGAACACCAATCGGTTTTTATGTCATAAAAACCGAAGCAGACCTAATTATTATTCGGTTTTGATCGGTTTTTATCGGTTTGGATTGGTTTGGATCGGTCCTTTCGGTTTGGATCGGTTTTGAACACCCTTAATGGGCATGTCTTAATGGAGACATTCTTAAATAAATTAGACATGTCACATCATTCATAATCTCTCTAATTAAAATATTATAAGTAATTTAAATAAAATTTTATGTGATATTATTTTAATTAATTTTATTTTTATAACAGAATTTATATTTAATTTATTTCTTTTTTCTATGATTAATGTTATAATCAATTTATGTTTAACATGATTTAAATATCATGTTTTTATTAAACAGATTACAAATGATGTAATGCACCCAATTTAGCTTAAAAATTTTTTATTTTAATGAGAAATTTCCATCACAGGTTTCTTTCAAAACATAGGATTGCAGTTAGTAAATATTTAAAAAGCACAATATGATTTTTTTTTTTCATTTTCTACTTGAAAATAGATCATAATTTGAGAACAATTGTGTTTTTTTAATAAAAAGTTTAAATGAGTTAACTCTTGTCAACTCATTGAAACTGAGACATTGATAAAATTGACTTCACATGAGAAGTCATCCACTAAGGATTAATTTTGATTATTATTAACGTTTGGAAAAACTTGTATTGCACTAAAAAATTGACTAAATATTTTTTAAAATGACACTTATTTAAAGCCTAACTTATTAAAATTTCTATTCTAATATCATCCATTTCATTTAAAAATAGTTGATATATGGCGAGGAGTTTGAATTTTCGATGGCTACTCACAAATCACTCTCTATTTTGTTTTTTTTTTTTTTTCACTGGGACTTGAGCTAGCCCAATAAATTTTCTTTTCTTCCATTTGTGTCTGACATGTGTGTCATAAAAAAAAATGTCCAACGAATATTGAATATACAAATTAATCTATAGGGGATTTTTTTAATAGGATCTATATTAATATTAATTTATATGTTTAATCTTTTTTTGGCCAAAAGAATACTTTCATTCCAAACTCGAATAGAAATCCTACAGTACAATGCAAGGGCTCAAGATAATAAGCCAACTAAAATCAACAGCAAAAGGACAAAGAAAGAGCCAAACGGTAACAATGAAGAAATCAGCCGCCGTCATCTGAGACAACAGAGGAATTAGTGACAATAGACAACTCCTTAAAAGTTGACGGTGAGAACACCCATCCTATCAGACACCTCCTTAAAAGCGGACATTGCAATAAGATCAACAATAGAATTACATTCGCGTGGGGTGAATTTAACAAAAAACCTAGCGTTGGTTGCCACTAGTGCCGAGATGTCTTCAGTGATACTTCTACACCATCAATCTACAAGAATGATTTGGCCCTTCTAAATACAGTTATCCAGCACCAGACAATTAGTTTCAAACATAGCATGAGCATTGCCTAAATCATGAGCAAGTATAAGCGCACACCGTAGGGCTAAGGCTTCTGTCACAAAAGCAAACAAAGATTTAACTTCATCAACAAAAGCCCACAAGTAAAGCCCTGCATCGTCAAGACACACCAAGCCATTTGATGTTTCGCTCCTACCTTTCACAAAAGAACCATCACAATTGATCTTTAAATAGCCAGCAGGAGGTAAGGTCTAGACTTGAGATCTAGATGGTTTGGTGACATTTGAATCCACAGCATTATCAAGTCCACTAACATGCCAAAATTCAGCAGCAACACATTGAGCAACATTATTAACACCATAAGGGTTTGGATCCACTTGATCGAAAACTTTCTCATTTTGCTCCTTATAGATGCACCACAATAGCCAGCTAAACAAAACAATCCCATACTCCATGAATGGGGAATTACCATGAAAAAATTCAAACCACCATTGGCCAAAATTATAAATATCAACCAGATTCATTCAAAGGGACAGTCCACACCCAAACCAACACATTAAGTCCAAGGACAAGAGGGAAAAAATGCTCAACTGTTTCAACATCATCCTCACAAGCAAGACACATATTTGTATGCCATTATGCTGATATGTCAATGCCTTATTCATAGCAAGAGCATGTGAAAGAGCTCTCCAAATAAAATGAATAATTCGTGGGATGGTTTTAGTTTTCTAGAGATTACGCCACATGTGATCGGTAATAGTAAAAGACAAGCTAGAAGCGAATTTCCTCACCTTATGTGACACCACAGTTGTATTGTTGCCTTGCTTAACAGAGTACACACCATTGCTTGCCACCGTCCAGCATAACTTGTCACTGGAAGCATTTTTGAAAGTGGAATTTGTGAGATGGCTGCAAGAGATGCTGTATCAATGTTGGGGGTCAAGGCAGTGAGGTTTCACTGCCTATTTTCAATTACGGACACCACTAGCAGCTCAAACTTAGCTAGATTTCTATCTTCAGCATGGAGATGCATATTGGGGAGGCTAGGGATCCAATTATCCTTCCAAATCCAAGCAATCATTCCACCACCTATATGCCAGCATAAGTGTTTTCACAAAAAATTCCTACCATTAATAAGGCTGGACAGCACCAAGAGGTTTTGGACCATTTTTTGGCATCAAGAAAGTGATTCTTGGGAAAATAAATTCCTTTGTGCACTCGCCATCCAGATTTTATAAGAGGTGCCACGTTGTTTTGGCCAATACCAATAGTGCCAAATTATAATTGATAAAGTCTTTGAAACCCTTACCTCCCTCCGTCTTAGGTTTAACCATTTTCTACCAAGCTAACCAATGAATCTTATTACCAGCTGTACCTCCATCCCACCAAAAATTGGAAATAAGACTATTGAGATCCTTGCATGATTTGACAGGAAACTTGAAACATAGCATTGGAAACATAGGAATAGGATTGACAACTGCTTTTATCAAGACCTCCCTCCCTGCTTGAGAAAGGAATTTTCAACTCCAACCATTTACTTTGGAGGTAACTCAATTGTGAACATAAGCAACAACTTGGTATTTAGTTTTCCCGACAACACTAGGAATACCCAAGTACTTCCTTGGATCATCTGTAGACCTAATACCCAAAATAGTCACATAGATTCCCGTACATTAGGTGGTGTATTCTTAAAGAAGATATTTTTTCTGAATTGGCAATCTAACCTGAAGCTTCACAATAAACCTTAAAGATTCTAGCCAGTGTTCTGCACCTAGTCCTAGCAACATTCATAAAGCATAAGGCATTATTAGCAAAGAAGCTCCGCGTTATCATAGGACATTGAGTTCTCAATTTAATGCCCTTGAGCACAGCGTGGTCTTGAGATTTCTGGATCATACTTGAAAGTACTTTTGGTGCAAGGATAAAGAGATATGATGATAGAGGGTCTCCTTTCCTCAAGCCCCTCCCATGTTTAATAGCAGCAACTTTACAACCTGAGAGACAAAAATTCAGAGATACAGATTCCGCACACTTCATAATAAGATTCACCCACATATTGCAAAAATCAAGTTTTAATAACATGACAGAGAAAATCCCATTCAATTCTATTATAGGCCTTACTCATGTCCATCTTAAGAGTAAATTCATATTTCCTGCTGTTACATTTCCTTCTCAAATAGTGATACACCTCATGTGCTGCAATAATATTATCATGAATATACCTCCCCAAGATAAAAGCCCCTTGACATGGAGAAATACATTCATTAAGAAAAGGTTTTGTCCGGGTAGCAATAATTTTTTATATAACCTTATAGGAAAAATTACGAACTCCAATAGGCCAAAAATGAGAAACTCATTCAGGTTTATCTGTCTTGGGACTGAGTGTAATATTCTATCATTGATATCAGTGATATTAATGTTTGCCTTCGGAAAAAAAAAAAAAAAGTTTCTTCACAAGCAAGAAAATACTATCATTCACTTCATGCCACACAGATTGATAAAATTTACTTAAAAAGCCATTAGGACCTAGTGCTTTAGTAGCCCCCAAACTAAAAACAGCATCGTGCACTTCAATCTTTGTGAGCGGAGCCACATGAGTTGTTCATTAACAGAATCATCAACACAGTGATCCAGAAGTGCTTCGTCAAATTGCCTTGGGTGGGGGGACGCAGTAAAAATTTGTATGTTTAATCATATGTATACAATTCCATCAAAGCTATTATTTTAAACATAGGCTTAACTTTAAATTAAACTAAACATCTCTTACCGAGAGAATTGAGATGCACAAAATAGATAATAGTTTAAAATATTTCTGGGAGATTGCATTTTTAAATATTTAAACTCTGTTGATAATTGTAAAAAATAAAAAATTGCGTAAAACTCAATACAATATATTAAAAATGTCGGTTAATAAAAATTGCAAGGATTTTTTTGCAAAAAGCCAAAAAAATTGCAAGGAATTCATTCAGAGGAGTCAAAATATTCATTATTTATGAATATTTTGGCTATTTTATATTGATATTGATCGATGTTGATATATTGAATTTATTAGTTGATAATAAAATTGATATTTTTAATTTAAAATAAAAATTGAACCGGCACTTTGCAGAAGAAAGTTTAAATTGAAATCGAAATAAATATTTGGCCCAAAAAATTGAAATAAAAAAAAATGACACTTTAAAGTTTATACTCCATACAGATTCGCGCGCGTACCCGGGTTTACCGAGGGAGGGAATCAGGGAAGGAGAGAAAGAGAGGCGAAGGAGCCCCCAATGGAGTTTTCTTCTGTTAATACACTCTGTCTTGATGTGAGTTTAATCTTCTAAAGTATCAACACGACAGATTCACTTCTTTAAGAATGTCTTGATTATTAACGGAATTACTTTATCTGGTATTCTCGCTCACTCTGATTTTCGGTTTGTTCGGATACATGAAATTATGATTGCAGTTGATTTCTTCTGCATTTCAAAGATGCCGATTATCTGAGCAGATTTGCAGATTATCAGTCATCATCAATCGCTCTTCCTCTTCGCGTCATCCCTCCGTTCAAATTTCAAGTAGGCTTCTCCCACTGTATTGAGAGTGTGGGACTGCATTTACATCTTTGGTGTTAATTTTATTGTCTGAGAATCGGTTAGCGATACGAATTAATAAACAATTTGTTCTGACAGAAGGTAAATAAATTAGAAAATGAGTCAAAACCACGTCCGTGGGAGTTTTGAGTTATCTGATTTTTGAATTATTATTCCTATGGAGGTTGAGATATAAATTCTTGTTTTTATGCCTTAGCATATGATTACGTTGCTTTAGAAAAGTGGTGTTCTGATTTGGTGCCGGAGAACGTTGACCCCAGGCTAAAAAAAAAAAAAAAGAAGAAGAAGACAAAGCACAATGACCAGACTATAAAATAAGATAATTTGACCAAGTATTCTGGGTTCAAATCTCAGCCGGAGCTTGGTCAATCTGCCTCGATACTATGTTGGAGAACTTCTAGAAAATCAGCCTATTATCTATCTTAGATGCCTCGATTAATATTATGATTGATGATGTCGTCTTCCATAAAACTTCGAGGAGATTGAGTGGTATCTTGTTGAAGCAGTTTCTGATACTGGTATTGGAAGCTGCTTAAAAGAATTTCAAGACTTGAAGTTTTCTAGGGGAGGTATCGCTGAGAATTGGGGTATGTGAAAAATTCGTTGTTACCTGAATGAATTTGAATTTTCGTTTTTTAGCTTCCAATTATTTATTTACTTATTTGTTGTTTGTTATGCTCCTTGTAACAGATGGAATGCTTCGTGTTAACACCACCAGTGAGTTTAACTCTCTCTTCATTGTGCTTTGATCTGAATGAACCTATAGGAGGTGTTTAGCACTTGATATGTGTATTCTTATGTATCTGGGATGCATAAGCACAAGATATATGGGTGTCTAAAATTCCTATTTTTGGGGTACAAAGCGTTGATTCGTGAGCTTGAGTCTCTCTCTTTTCTTTTATAAATGTATTGCGTTGCTATTAAATAAAACGAGTGCAGAGAAAAATTAAAATTTGAATTTCTACAATACCTCCCAGATATACTCAAATGGAGAAAACTATTTCGTTTCCCCGTTACTTCAAATATATTGTTCGTAATACAGGAGGTGATATGCCAGCCTTTTAGTGTGAGGATATCGGATTAAACCCTTTCCTTTTGACCATATTTTAGGTTAGCTATTTGTCATAGGAACTTGGTTATTATCAATTATATAGTCTAATAAAATGTTTTGTTTACTTTCTTGGTTCCTTGTTATCATATGCCATCATTTCAGAGTGACTTAGAATTCAACAATTCATTTAATTGAATTGTTATCAATTATATTGCTATGTTTAGTTTCATAATTCTTATGAGAATTGTTGATATAGTCTAATGACATTGCAGGCATCAGTGATACTGAGATTTATATTTACCAATTTAGTTTGAAAGAGAATGGTTCTTCCAGAAGAATAAATAGGCTACCTTCATTCCAAAAAAATGGCGCAAAATTCAGGCATACTAGATGATTAAATTACTATTAGTTTAAGACATTATCTGTACGTCTAGTTTCCTGTAACTGATCGATTGCCCTACTTGCAGTGGTACTGAAGTTTCCCTGTCTTTTGCTCAAAGCCTAGATATTTTACTGGCCGATGTTCATAGATTTTTGCTGAAGGTCAGTTGAATTTCTAGTGCTACTTCGTTAATTCTTCCATGACACAATGCTGGAAAATTAGTTAGATAGATTAACTTATATGGTAATTTAATCATTTTGATAATTATTTATCTCTACTCTCATGTGATAGTACAAGCAACTGCACTCAGACATTTAGCCATACGCTTTTTCCATTGTAAGCACACAAACTTAATTCATTTAAATTCCACTATAATAAAGTAATTGCCTGATTAGTTTACCAAAAAAAAAAAAGAAAGAAAAGAAAAGTAATTGCCTGATTAACGCTGCAGAAAGTAAGATATATCTGAATGTCGTTCAGCAGTATAAAAAGGTCTTTTCAGGCAAAAAAACAAGTATAAAAAGCATTAATATCAGAAATAGAAGTCAATTCAGTGATCTTGACTGTACAAATATACACCACAGGGGGATGTGGAAAGCAATTTTTGCCATTTAAGCCATAACTTGATTGAGTAAGTAAAGAGTATGTGTGCTTATATGGGGTGCAATGACACATCAAATATTCATAGGAAGAATTTTCTAGAAAGGAAGAGATATCAGTGCCAACCAGATAAATAGAGGTAGCTTTGGCAAGCATGAATTTACTGCAGTGTCCTTCATTTTTCTGGTTCATCACTGCATATCAAGTGATACTATTTTGTTTCAAAGGATTTTAAATTATTGCGTTGAATTTCTGATGCTTCTTTGCTTCTTCGCAACACATTGGTCTGTTTTTGATTATTTATTAATATTATATTTCTCTTTCTACTTATCAAATTTCTCTTTTGCAGATGCTTATTCTAAGGATACCTGTAAGTTAAACTGACATTATTGCAGAATGCTGTAGTATTCTCATTTTTGCTTTTTAAACATCAATTAGATGCAGTCTATAGAAGCCTTGCTGATGCACCTCAAGAGCATTTATTCTTGATTTTGCTATCAGTAATTATCAATTATGCCAAATTAAATTGCTAAATTCCATGACTAAAAAGCAATCCCATAACCTGCTATAGAACCCTTGATCAAGACTTTGGCACGGATGTAGTGATTAGCTTTACTTTTTCATTCAGAATATTGCAATACAATTGGTGGCAGAAGACTGTGATGTTCCAGGATCTCGATATGAAAAGGTTTTTCTCGCAAATAAGCCTATGCAATCACCTATCTTGGCACCAAATCTTGAACATCTGAAATCAGGCTTTGAAGAATATGTCTTAACGCATGGAAATAGTTTAGATAGCAAGTGTGATTCTTGCTTCCAAAGTTGGTAAGTTCACAATCATGATCAGATCCCCATCTATTATTGAGAATTGATGATTTTATTCTATAGTTGGTAGATTGATTAATGTGCTGTGGTTAAGTTCCTCAGCAGGAGATCCTCACTCCTCTGCCATAGATTAAGGTTACGTGTATAATTTCATCATTTGTTCCGTGTTGGATACACTTGAACAATAAAGTATCTTATATATATACCGCTCTATTGTGCATAGTGAATGTAATCATCGTAGTTTTCATGGAAAGAAAAATCCAATTTCATACATTTATGTCCCATAAGCCGGTACAGCAAATCAGTTAACTCTTTCACCAGAAGTAATTCTACATTTATGTAGAAGTGCCCAAACTGTGATACGATCGAAGCAGTCTATCTTTTTTTTTTTTTTTTTTCCTGACATCAACCTGCTTCTCATGTTAAGTGCGCACTGCTTTAATCTTTAATTGGATCTGTTGAAAGTGATGTTGATATGTAATATCACATATTTGGAGGCAAAATATCTCGCACAATTTATTAGAACAAAGAAGTCTCACATCAAGTAAAAGTGGAAGTCGGAAATTAATATGTTGTTTAGCCATAATTCTGTGGGCTGTTCACAATCTTCATTTTCTGGGTAATCAGAAAAAAATCTCTAGATTCATAAGTCATGTACTGATAGATTTGGAACGATTTACTTCGTGGGCTATTGTTAGGGAGCATCTCAAGGTTGGGAGTGGACGAGCATGCTGCACGGAAACTGAACTGGTGATGGAAGCAGTGATAATAATTAGTGATATATCAAAGGACAACACTGCATGCTTGAGAGAAAGGGGTGATAAAACTGAGGTTCTTCATGATATTTCTTGAGCTATAAGTTTCAGTTCAGTTTTGTATTGAATAATGAATAATCAACAATGCCATTTGCATGCAAGCAAGTCTACCAGTAGTGTGTGTATACAAATGGACAAATTAGTACATCTGGCATTAGTTTGTGTATGCTCATTATCTTTGATAGCTTAGGAAGGCAACTTAGTTCAATGGTAAGGGTAACGTTTGTAAAGTTAATATTAGTTTATGGATACTGCTTTCAACATTTATATATCTAGAATGAGATCAATATTGCCATGGAAATATCTGGTAGAGTTACTGAAAAGGTTTGCATTGTTATATAAACGTTTATGATACGCTGTCATTGACGATAATTTTGAGATTAACCATCTATCAAAGATGTTTATGATACGCTGAAAATCATCCAAGTAGAAGACAAGGTTTTCTTAGTTGACTTGATGTGAAAAGAAGTGATGATTCATTTTTGCCTTAAAGTCAAGGATTATTCTGGTGACTTGTCTGCATTTTCTACTGTTTGGACGCTTTGTTTGTGATGCCTTTTAGGTTCGATTTATTCTCCAATTTAATAATAACCTTGTTTAATATCAGGTTTTGTATTTTAAGGATTTCTCACCTTGCACAATCCCTCAATCATCTATGAAGGCGTTGAAAAGCGTTGACTGGAGAAGATATGGTTTGAATTTAGCAGGCATAGCGCAGCAAGATGGCTGTGCATTACTAGAATGGGAAACCTTGCCAACGGATACTCATATTGATATTGTGCTCCACTCCTATTATCAACAATGTCCAGCTTTTTCTGAGAAAGTATTTGTCATTTGATGCTTTCCTGTAGGATTGAACAGACACATTATTGCATAGAAAGCATCGCATATTTTAATATGAAAATTGCACTTTATATCTTGCTCAGAGCACAGCAATAGCTTGTGTCTGAAAATTACACTATATATCTCGCAAAAAAATAAAATAAAAATATCTTGCTTATAGTCGATAAATGTGGTAGATAAACTGAAGTGGACGACAAATTTCTTCACATGCATTTAATAATTAGTATTTGTGTCATGCATCGGTGGGTGCATATAATTTCTTAATTTATATTTGATATATTTCCTTGACGTTTTGTTAAGGCCATCATGCGAGCACCAAGGAAAGACTCTCAAATTGATAGAAATCTTGTTAAAAGAGCCATTAAACTTTCATTGGATGACTTGAAGGACAAGCATGCAGGAGTTCTTTTAAGTGCCCGTGCTACTAAGGTGAACCCTCACAAAAGCACAACCTCCCTCTCTCCCCGCACAAAAGCACACATTGGCATGCATATGACCAACTAGCTTGGCTTGTTCGTTAGTCTTTCAATGATAATTTAGATATTAAGATTTTGATAATTTAGAAATCTTGTTAAAAGAGCCATTAAACTTTCATTGGATGACTTGAAGGACAAGCATGCAGGAGTTCTTTTAAGTGCCCGTGCTACTAAGGTGAACCCTCACAAAAGCACAACCTCGCTCTCTCCCCGCACAAAAGCACACATTGGCATGCATATGACCAACTAGCTTGGCTTGTTCGTTAGTCTTTCAATGATAATTTAGATATTAAGATTTTGATAATTTACTTTATGGGTGCAGATCCCTTTATCTAGTCTATCATGACCGGATTTTTATCACTTTGCACAACTTTTTTTGTGGCCTTTTGTTAAAAAAAGGAAAAATAGATAGACCAAATTGGCGTTCCCTATCAAATTTGTACTTTCATCAATTTTACTTTTACTGTTTCTTTGTGGCCTTCTATGTTGGTGGGCTCCTTTAGCTTTGCACGGGGTCTGAGATAGATAAGTCACATTATTTATGATTTGTGAAGTATATAGTTTGTTGTGAGTTTTATATTTTATTTTAAATATTGAGTATTGATGATATTGATTTGGCTTCTTACATTTCCAGATCTGTAGTTATGCCCCTGATCTAGCAGAAACAATTGCTGGTTTAATTTTGTCCTCTAATGACTTGGAATTCCAAGAAGAATGCTTATCACTTCTTGGATTACAGTCTCAAGGTTTTGGAGCTGAAACTGTGAAAAACAATATTAAAGATAGGATTGTTTCAGTGATAGAGATGAACGACAAAAAGGATCAGAAAACTCAAGAAGCTGCACCTTGCCTTTTTGATGACGACCGTCACCGAGAAGAAGGGTTTCAAGAAAACGACGATGAAGGTGATTATAACATGTTTGCGTTAGAAGATTAAAATTCTAGATCTTTTTACAAATCACTGAAGCATCCATTGAGGCATCCTTGAACATTACAGCCTTTCAAACTTGCGTTATCCCTTTTCGTCAATTTTGTTTGCCTTGTTAGAATGCAAGAATTTTACGTATCTTTAACAAGTTTTGTTAACTACATCCGTGAAATTGAAATGATTTAAAGAGGTTCATGTGCGTATAAGATATTATCAGACTTTTTTGATACATTCCAATGTTTGTAATAGCTTGAAGGTGTAAAATATTCATGTTACCAAAATATAATAATGATACAATCTACTAATCAATGCGCCGATTTTAACAACATATAGCGATCTCCATGTTATGAAACAAATTTAACTATCCAAAATGTGTAACATCTATTTGTTATAACTATCTTTTACTTTCCAGTGCATTATTTTTATAAAATTAAATCATCAAAATAACTATGTATATTCCAGGAAATCTATTTTTTAACACTAGGATATCTATTTTTAATATGATTAATTTCGCAGTAATTCAATTGATTACATCAAAAGTCATATTTTAGCTAACATATGCAAGCTAACATCTTAGTAGTACACTTCTTGTTTTGCAGTACACTACTATTTCGTCATTCATAACATATATGTATTTGTCGTATAATATATAAACTTTGTATTGTCTTTATAGATTCAAGAGATGAAAGTTTCATTTAATTATTTTCAAACATGAAAACAACATATTGTGTGTTATTGTCAAAACCATGACATATAGGCTTCCCTTGCAAGTTGCAACAAAGACACACTTTTTTATTGGTAAACAATGAAAGACACCTCTATCTCGTAAAAGTCTAAACCTAACCGCCTTGGTCCGAAAAAAACCCAAAAAACTGGCCGCTGGACGCTAGTTATGAATTTTAGGACAACTTTGCCCCCTGTCCAATTTTCATATTAAACTTCTACCATCTAAAGGAAGAATGATAATTAGGTTTTAAAATATTGAATTAATAATAGTTAAGTTTTCAACAATATTTTGAAAATAAGTTATAAATATCAATTCAAATTATTACAAATCTAAGAGTTTTAATTATAAATTAATATTTAAATATCATATGTAGAGTTAGGAATAAGTATTAGGCCTATAAACCCTGTAGAGTTTAGGCTTAAAAAATGGAGAATTTAATTTTTAAGATAATGGGCTTTTGGACCTAGACCTGATGAGCCTTAAAAAATGAGTTTGGGCTCGAGTGGCCTACCAAGCCCTGTTATCTTTGTTTTTTTTAAACAATCTATCTAAAAAACGGGTATAGAGAAAAAACCTAATGCTTAAACTTCTTCAATTTCTAATCTCATGACTCTCACTCTCTCAGCCTTCTTTGTTTGATTGAAACTTTCACTCCCTTAGCTAAAGATAGAAGATTTCAAAGTCACTCATCTGCTCTCCATAGGCCATCGCTTATCTCTGTCTCAATCAGCATCTCTACTCTCTCATTAGCTGTTGATCATCCTACCTCATCTCTGATCTTTTGCCCCACTCAGAGTCACTCAGCTCTCCCTCCCGTATTTGCTTGCCTTGTTACCCCTCATGTCTATCAATTACTCCCCTTACACCTCTCATAGTTTGCTTTTCACCCACAGCTGTTGTCTTGGTGTGGGTGCTAGGTAGCGAATGGTGATACTTTGATATTTGCTTGTCTTAGAAGAGTGCCCTGATTCTAACCAAGTTTAACTAAAGTAGTTATTTTTTTTGCTAGAGTAATTACTTTAATTTATTTATGTGTAATTTTAAAATATTCTAATTAAATTATAATATTATTTGTTTTGTAATCGGGCTAACGAGCCCCGCCTGAGCACTTTACATAAATGCTGGGCCTCAAGATTTGGAGGAATTTTGAAAAATTAGGCTTCAGGGCCTAAGTCCTTAAGGATCGAGCCTGCCTGTCTCCCAACTTTTATATAGTAATAAAATTTCTTTCTTGTAATTGTTTGAATTGATATTTATAATTCATTTTTAAAATTTTTTTAAAAAAATCTTATGTTATTAATGCATTACTAGACCTATTCTCCTAAGTATAAACCCTAGTCGCTCCATAGGGATATCTTGGAGGGGTTCTTTGAAGGAGTAATACAAAGCAAGGAATGATTAGAAATAGTAGGTGAGTGACTGACTGAGCACGGCGGTCAACAGTATGAAAGTTAAAAGACTCAAATCTTCGAAATCAATAGGAACCATTTTTTGCATTTTGTCATTTTATACTTTGCTGATATCCGCTTTTTTGCAAGCTCACCATAACATGTTTCTGCTGCCCATAAAGTTTCTAGAGGAATAACTTGAATGAACACGAAAACCAGGCCTCATGAATAAAAAATGTGTCATAGCTGCACTCTGTACCCCAATCATGACCTGACTTGCATTAAGTGCTCTATAAATCTTTGCCAATTCTATCGTTTTGTCTGGCTTTAAAACTTCAACTTTAAACCCAACTTTTTTGCTTGCAAATCTCATTAGTTATCATTCTTGATCTTGTTCTTGACATAATAGTAAATTTAGGTTTATTCCCTTGATTTTCTGTTAATATAGGGAATAATCCATCTTATGCTTCCTTTGCCTTGTCTTGAATCAAGCACTTAATCCGATGTGAGTAAGCTCGTCCGAAGGTTTTGAAAATCAATGATGCTCTTGTTATCCTTCATCAAGTTAGAATCCACAGTATGTTTCTTGACTAACATCAATAGGAGGAAAGGCTCTGATAGATGAGAAAGGAAAGGCTATTCTTTGTACTTTTCTAGGTATGTTTCTTGACATGTTAGTTTGATATGATATTCTTGATCTTATTGATCTTGGGAAATTCTCTACTTTCTCAAACTCTTAGTTGTAGATTCCTTACCAACCTTGTTATATTTATTCTCAATTGTTTTGCTGCATTTTTTTTGGACCTCAGATTGATTTACTATTAAATGGATTGTTTGTGTGTACTCTCTATTTTGCTGTTTTTACTTGACTGTGAGCTTGTTGAGTGTATTGATGTGAGAATTTTTTTTAAAGAATAATGATACAAATTTAATTTTAAACTATTTCTCAAGGAGTGTTTGGTAGCTTATATTATAAGGTTGTACAAAATAAATTATAAACTACTCAAAACGGAACACCTAGCACATTTCCATCCATATGAGTAACGTCTGTTTTTTTTTATGGTGGGCCTTGTATTGTTGACATCATTCTCTTCAACTCCCTTTGTCTCTCCCCCCTCTTTTCTCTCTCATTCATTCTCCATGGCTTTTTTAGAACTATACAGATGAGAACTATGGAAAATATTCACCTTTAATACACACAAGTTCGTTAGAACAACAATTGATCTTGCCTCTTAATATTTGTATTTGATTTGTGAACCAGTTTTGTTAGAGAAGATAAGACATGAACAGTGAAGCATGGTGGTCGAAGGAGACAAAATAAAACAAACCATTCAGTAAGCTCTAGATGCGATGGTCTATATAGTAGCCAACAAGCCAATGTTAAAGAGCAATATGGTGCCGATACAAGAGGCGAAGATGAGGGTGACTAGAAGAAATGGGATAACACCAAGTAGATTGGTAGCTCTGGCACATAAAGTAGTGGCTTACAATGAGGAATGCATGATAAAGGAGGATAAGGTCAAGATGAGTGATATTGTTTACAGTACGACAATGAGATTGTTAACGGACAAGGAGGCAACATGGCAGATGCTCGTGGAAGTGGTGTTTGTAGAGTTGAGGCACAACACTAATGTGTCAACCACTCAAGGAGAACAACTTCGATGGTCACCACTGCTAGGCTCTCCCTTCTCTCTCTTATTCATTACATCACCCACCCCTTTTATCTTCATTTAACACTAACAGTCTGATGCTGCTTAGTAGTATTCCAAATGGGATGCCTTGCTTACACATGCTTTATGAAGTTATAACATTGTTGTATTTACTAGGCTATGTAATCCATGAAGAAGAAATGAAGAAGATGATAGATATGGGTGTTAATAATGCTATTTCTGGTCTATGAAAGCCATATAGAGGATGAATGAAAGGGGGAGATGAAGAGGATGATGTCTTAAATCCGAGTCCTACCATAAAAAATAAATGGACATTACTCATTGGATAGAAAAGTGCTCGATGTTCTACTTTAAATAGTTCATAATTTATTTTGAGGAAATTAATCTTTTAGTAGTCCTTCAACTTTTAACTAATTTGTAACTTAATCTCTTAATTATGATTTATTATGACTGAGTCTCTTAACAATGACTCACTACGATTTAGTCCATTAACTTTTGATTTACTTATAATTTGGTCCTTATTTTTTAATTTTTTAAAAAATTATCCTTATTAAATAAGAGGGATAAAAGAAATACTCTTATCTTTTTCTAAAATGTTGTCATCTTGCTCTTTAATGTGGGATCTAAGTTAACATAAAAAAAAGAAACAAATAAAAGTTGAGGAATCAAGTCATAGACGAATAAAAAGTTAAGAGATTGAGTTGAGTTGCAAGTTAATTAAAAGTTGAAAGATTAAAAAATTAATTTTTTTTATTTTGTACACTCTATAATCTAGGCCACCAGACACTTACAATATAATTCAGGGTTAAATTTGTACCATCCCCTTTCTTTTTAGTTAAAAAGCAAATCGTGGATTTCTTTTTTAAGGGGGGAAAACCCTAAATGCAGTTTTCATTCTTATATGGGCTGTAAAAGAAGAGACGCAGACAGGGAAATGGGCCAGAAATTGGAGGCCTACGGTGGACTTCTTACACTTGACTCTCTGGCGGTGAATAGAATTGACAGCTTGCTTTGCACACAAAGGATGATAAAAGAGTAAATATAGCAATTTGGAAAATTTTTAATGTGTGTGTGTGTGTATATATATATATATATATATATTCATTTTTTAATTATCCATCTTCAAATATTGTTCAAAAAGGGTTTGCCACAAATTAGAGCTTAAAATTTTAATTTATTCCCGATATTGCATATATATTTAATGTCTAATTGTTAACTTATCACAGTAATTTTCATTTAAAGTTAATTAGTTAATCTTATTTCTAAAAATAAAAAAAAAAAATATATATTTACAAAAATATATCATGAATTGAGAGAACTACATGAGAGATTCAAGGTTGTCTAACATGGACAAGATTTTATTTATTAGATGGGAAGTTTGTATTTATTAAGCAGCAGACGAGTTTGACAATTCATTACAGTGCTGCAATTGTCTTTGGAAAAAAAGCCTATGCATCGATTTTGTTCAAAATTCTCTGTGCAGCAAATATCCAATAGGTTGGTGGCTTTATTCTTGCATGATAGAATGTGTTTGCTATGCTACTCAGTCTTGAGCTCAGTCTGTCTTATACTTGAAGCCTTTCTTGAATCACGAGCTATTTATAAGAGACTGAAGAGGTATTTTTGTAATTTGATTAAGATTTCAATAATTAATTGTAGAACAATATTGAACATTATAAATACAGATATTGTAAATTTCACTTAATTTATTAGCGATGGCAATCATAGAAATGTAATATGTAGCATAAAAATAAAATCAAATATGACATTAACAGTCCAAACAACATGATTGAAAAAAAAAAAAACAATCATTGAAGAGAAGCCATGTTAACAGCCAGCAAAATGCTACCTTATACAAGATAAACCGATAAAGTTATAAAATTATTTTATTATTTAAATACATGATTTACACAATTTTTTCATCAAACAAGTCAAACCAAATTTAAAAGAAGTATATGAATATCACATTAGGATGGTCCTACTTGTGCTTTAAAGCGGGTGATTGTTCCCTCAATGTGACACCTAATGTAAATATAGACTGAGTTTTAATTTATTTTCATTAATATGTTAATTTTGAACTCATTGTTAAAAAAAAAAAATCAAGGGAGGTGGAAGAAAGAAGGGAAAAAGATGACAATCATATTGGCTTAGGTGAGAGATTGGAGTGGAGAGTTTGTAAAAGGAGATATAACGGATAGTTGTATTTAAGATTTTAAATTTAAGATATTAAAAGGAGTGAAGTTGATAAAAAATCATTAATATTTTAAATGATTATTTTTTATTAAAATTTTTATCTCAAGCAGTTTAATTCTTATGTTTCTAGTGGAACCCTTTATTTTATTTTTTAGTTGTTTTTAAATTTTTATTAAAATGATTTATATAGTTTTAAATAATTTTGATCTCTAAATATTCATTTGTTATTTAATTTTTTTAATAAATCAAGTTGATATACAGATAGAGGTCTCATTATTATTTAGTAAATTGGTTAAATAAAGAATTAATTTTTTATCTTATTGTAATTCTCCTTCTAAATAAAAAGCTCTTGAAGATCTCACAAAATTTGATGGTGGTGGAACTGGTATTAGAGTGGTGGAGGCGAAGTTTGAAAATTACTCCTTGAGCCGTTTAAATCAAATATTGATCGACTTGATTTTTGGTTTTGTTTTGTTTTTGTTTTTTTTTTTTAAGAGGGATCGACTTCGATTTTAAACGTGATAACTTGAGCTGTTTATCGATCAAATTTTCGTGGCGTCGCCGTCAATTAAACGCAGATTTCAACGCCCAATTCTCGCATTGAAGGAAGCTTCAAATTCATGAAAGCTAGTTCTTTTCTTTCTCGGCAATTTTTCGAATTACAAGCCTCGTTTTCATCACTCCAAAAATCCTTTCTGTTACCAGCTAATCTAAGTCTTGTTGAAGAACTTATTGGTAAAGCGTTAGATCAATTTCCTACTGTCAAAACCTTAAAGAATGTCCACTCAATCATATTTCGTTACGATCTTCATCAAGACCCTTCTCTGGGAATCAAACTAATGAGGGCCTACGCTGCAAGCGGGGAAGTTCACCTGGCACGCAAGGTGTTTGACGAAATTCCTGTAAAAAATGTTGTTTTCTATAATGTCATGGTAAGGAGCTATGTGAACAATCATTTGTACGACGATGCACTGGAAGTTTTTAAGACCATGATTAATGGTGGCTTAAGTCCGGATAATTATACATACCCTTGCGTCCTAAAGGCCTGCTATTGCTCTGAGAATCTAAGAATTGGGTTGCAACTTCATGGGGCTGTGTTCAAGGTTCGACTTGATTCCAATTTGTTTATTGGAAATGGTCTAATTGCCATGTATGGGAAATGTTGTCGTTTATTGGAGGCACGGCAAGTTCTGGATGAGTTGCCAGGCAGAGATGTCGTTTCCTGGAATGCAATGGTTGTCGGGTATGCACAAAATGGACAATTTGATGATGCATTGGAGATTTGCCGGGAAATGAAGGTGTCAGGACAACAGCCTGATGCTGGTACAATGGCCAGCCTCATGCCAGCTATAGGTAACACATCATCTGAAAATGTTTCATATGTTAAGGATATGTTCATGAATTTAGAGATGAAGACTTTGGTCTCATGGAATGTGATGATAGCTGTGTTTGTAAAAAATTCAATGCCTAACGAAGCTGTTAAGTTATATTCACAAATGGAAAAAAGTTGGGTGGAGCCTGATGCAATCACTTTGGCTTGTGTTACTTTAGCCTGTGGGGACCTATCAGCTCTGTCGCTTGGAAGGAAAATTCATGAATATGTTGAAAAGAAGAAACTATGCCCCAATTTGATATTAGAGAATGCATTGATAGACATGTATGCTAGGTGCGGATGTCTGGAAGATGCAAGGAAAGTGTTTGACAGAATGAAGTTCCATGACATTGCATCATGGACATCATTGATATCTGCTTATGCTATGACTGGGCAGGGTCGCAATGCTATCATGCTCTTCAAAGAAATGCAAGATTCTGGTTTAAGTCCTGATTCCATTTCTTTTGTTGCTATTCTCTCTGCTTGCAGCCATTCAGGTTTCCTGGATGAAGGCAAGATTTACTTTAAACAAATGACAGTTGATTATAAAATAACCCCAAGGATTGAACATTTTGCTTGTATGGTGGATCTTTTAGGACGTGCTGGGAAAGTTGATGAAGCCTATAATTTCATCACACAAATGCCTTTGGAGCCTAATGAAAGAGTTTGGGGAGCTCTGCTTAGTGCTTGTCGTGTGTACTCCAACATGGATATCGGGCTATTAGCTGCTGATAAACTTTTTCAGTTGGCTCCTGAGCAGTCAGGTTACTATGTGTTGTTATCTAATATATATGCAAAGGCCGGTAGATGGAAAGAGGTAACTGCTATTCGATCATTAATGAAGAGAAGACGACTCAGGAAAATGCCTGGAATCAGCAATTTTGAGCTGAATAATCAGATTTACACCTTTCTTGCTGGTGATAGATCTCATCCACAGTCAAAGGAAATATATGAAGAGCTAGATGTATTGGTGGGGAAGATGAAAGAATTAGGTTATGTCCCTGAGACTGATTCTGCTCTTCACGATGTTGAGGAAGAGGATAAGCAATACCATCTAGCTGTACACAGTGAAAAGTTAGCAATTGTGTTCGCCATTTTGAATACCCAACCTGGTTTTGCAATCAGAATTACCAAGAACCTTCGTGTCTGTGGAGATTGCCACATTGCTGCAAAGCTCATCTCCAAGATAGTTGAGCGTGAAATTATCGTCAGGGACACTCATCGATTCCACCATTTCAAAGATGGGTCATGCTCTTGTGGAGATTATTGGTGACATATAAGCCAACCTGATCAGCATCTAACTGAGACTGAACATCATATTTGAGGGACTATTTAAGGTCATATTTTGGATCGAATATTATCTGAAGCAAATGATTGTGAACTGCGATGATGACCAAACTTTAAAGTGATGGTTAGGTGCAAAATATTATAGATTTTAATAATATATTAGAATCTCTATGTTAGCTCCTCGCTTAAGTTACATTTTCTCTTTGCATGAAAAATATCATGCTCTGTAAATTTTAAAATTTGTAACAGAAACGCAAGCAAGCCAATTCAAGAGTGAAAAGAAATGATTATCCTTATATTATGAATTAAAGTCTAGATTGATTTTTTTTGAAAAAAAACTACTGACACAAAGATGAAAAAGAAATTGAAGATGTATTTGTAACGGTTATTACTAATTATACCATTCTTATAAAAAAATCTTCATCAAAATTAGTTTAAAAATTTAGATTACCAATAATTATGGAGTTCTCTAAATTTCAATAAGAACATTTCTTTTACAAGGCTGGCTTTATGTACACAATGAACACGTTTTTATCCATTATTTAACATTTAACTTTCTTCTTGAAAATCATAATTTTATATTCCTATTTGGAGCGAAAAGAAAAACGAATGGATTCTGCAAAGAAAATCCTAAAGTAAAAGGATATTGTCACAGAACAATTTGGAAGGAATTAAGCATTAAATAAATATTGCTTCAATATTTTATTTCTATTGACCTCAAGTTAATTTGATAAGATGACAAAAATGTGCGGGATGTTAATGCTAAAAACTATCGGGTAAAGATGATGCATTTAGAAGAAATTATTTTTCTTTTATCCTGAACGGATTACAAATAGAGAAAATGATCAACTAGAGGCCTTGAAAATTAGTCAAATATAACAATATAAAATGAACTAAAACTTAATAATTAATATTTAATATATATATATATTTTTTTAAAAAAGTTATAATGTTGTTCGACCCTACTCAAATATAGTAATACACCGGAATAATTAAAATTTGTTGTTTTGTTAAAGACTTATTCAGGACGGCCCTAGTTCTATAAATCATTGGCTTAGAGAGTTATCTTTGAAAGGAGAATACAAGCGGACTGCCCAAGTCCAACATAGCACATTTATAGTATCACTTCATATTTTAATCAAAAACCTTAACGAGTCTTTCCACTTATATACCATTTATTATCCAACCTAATTCCATTCTATCTAGGACTTCTTTCTCCTACAAAGTGAAGCCAACTAAAACATGCTTCCACATATGCCCACACTATGAAGATACCATCATGCCAAATTTTTTCATTGTTTTCTCACTAAGTCTCTTACAAGGACTTATTCTAATATCACTTGTTAGACCCAGAGAACATCTCGAAAGAGAACACAGCTAGACTCAACACTCCCATAGGATACAAATCTAATGCCACATCTCAACCTAAAATTGGGTTTATGAATATTGTTCACTTGTATATCTCCCCTTAAACCCAATACCGTTCAAAGTGGAGGCCCCTTGGGGAAGAAAGGCAAACGGCAGAAAGTGAGTAACATTTGAAAGGGTTGGGTCAAGTTGAGCTTGGTGCCAGAAATTTGGGAAAAGCTAGACGGCATTTGGTCAAAAAAAATGCCATCCCAAAAAGATCCTAAAGTTACAAAGATGAAACCAATTCCATCATCGTGATACAATCTGACCTTCCTAAGGGAAAGCAGCAGTGCAGCTTACCAAACCACAAGTCATTCGTCCTTCCTTCTCCTTTCCCCTTTTCTGCAGGCCCAAAACTCCAATGCACCAAATAGAGACTAACATATACGTGGGACACGTGTTTAAGATTTACTGTGCGCCTTCTAGTAATTGCAGCAGCAGCAGCCCAAATAGAGTTTTCAGAGAAAAAAGGATGGCGCATTGAATTAGTTTCCATGACAGTTATAAACATTGCAGCCAAACACCAGTATAAAGCTCTGGTCTTACATATCCCCATCAAAACATTTCTACTATAGCTCGAGTCCTACTACACAGCAGAAGATAAACACAACCAAATTTATCTCTCAATGATTCCCTTTTTTTTTTTTTAATAGAACAAGAAAAATAAAAACCTAGATAATATTCACCCCTGCATCCAGAATTACTCCCACATGACTCCGAAAGAGCATCAAGCCTGAAATGATGGAAAAAGCAGGTAAGAATCGCCTCCTAGCATTTTAGCAAAAGAGCGTAACTTAAATGTTATTGAATTCTTAAAAAGCCTGTTAAAACAAATCAAGATGAAGAACACGTGCAAGCTAAGAGCCTAAGAGGCATATATCAGGAATTTTGCCATCATTCAAAACTAACGAAATATCCAAAACCTCCATCCATCATTAAGCACCGTTTTTAAGCAATACAGCAAAGAGCAGAACCAATAGCTACCTTGGTGGCAATATTGTTGGAAAGCCAATCCAAACCCTCATAAAGGCCTTCCCCAGAAGTTGCACAGGTGCTCTGGATATACCTGGAAAGGCCACAAAACCATCAGACCTCATCAGGATCGCTAATCCTATCAATGCTAAATGACAAGAAGGTTATCGAATTATTTACCAGTGTCTCTGCCTGAGAGAGTGGAGGCCCAGCTTATCAGTGATCTCAGCAGCATTCATTGCATTGGGAAGATCTTGTTTGTTGGCAAATACAAGTAATACTGCATCTCTGAGTTCATCCTGAAAGATAATTAAAGAAAATGAAACATTTTCAACGTCCCTCGTAATCAAAAGAGAACCACTCAGAGCAAGCTAACATCAATTGCTAGACTAATGCATTAACAATATGGAATCGCATCACATTAGATAAAGATAAATGCTGACAGAGGTACCTCATTCAACATTCTGTGCAACTCATCTCTTGCTTCAACAACTCTGTCCCTGTCATTGCTGTCCACGACAAATATAAGGCCCTGTGTATTCTGGAAGTAATGCCTCCACAAGGGGCGAATCTGCAAAACATTAAATGAAAAAATAAATATCCAGACATCAGCCTCCAAGACAAGAATATCTAAAAACAACAAAAGGTGTATCAAAACATCGTTTGGCAGTGAGATAGAAGTGGCCTACACTACGAATTATGTACGCCTAGCAATATAAAAGAATGAAGAGGGATCAAAATTGACACCTTATCCTGACCACCAACATCCCAAACAGTGAAGCTAATATTCTTGTATTCAACAGTCTCCACATTAAACCCTGAAAAAGAGTGTCAGAAAAGCCCATAAAAGCACAGGTACTCCCTCTGGTCCAAAATATAAGCATTTTCCCTCAACTAATTTTGGTTCAAATTATAAGCAACCTAGCATATGTAAAAAATTTCTCCCAATTTTACCTCTTGTATCTATTAGCCTAGATCCTTGTGTAAAGTTATCCCTCACTTATCATAAAGTGCATTAGTAATTGGGACTAAAGGTAAATATATATATATATATTATGAGAATGAGGGCTTTATTGGTACATGAATTTTTCTAAAAAAACTGCCTATATTTCAGACCGGAGGGGGTATTTATTTAGTCAAAAGGGAAAAAAAACACATGCATCACAAATGTTCAGACTGACAAATAGGATATCAAACAAAAACTTCACATGCATAGGAATCAAGAGAATAATATCAGAATCACTACAGTAGATCAAGGAAGAAAAAAATTCAGTCTGGGTGACCAGCCACAATAAATACCTCATCAACTCTCAAAAGCGAAAACGAAGCTCAGAATTGACCACCAAAAGTTATCAAATTATGTATGCCCATGTATATGGAAGTGGCTTTAAGTGTAATGCCCGCTAGCAAATATTTACACATCCATAACAATCAATCAAGCAAAATTTATTACTTTCACTCAAAGATAACTCTTGAATAAAATTATGTATGCCCACACACCTTTCTGAGGGGGAATGAAACCAAAAATAAAGAGTAATCAGGAAATCATATGCTTGTACTTTTACTTCCCTTTTTAAGGGGCTAGAAATGCTCCTGTCTTCCATGTGAGGATCTAGACTGCACAAGAATTGCACTGTAGACTGTACCAGAAATCAACAAGATTATGTGTTCATATCTCAACGTAAGGATCAAGAAAAGGTAATACAACTACTGTTGTCAGAGGCAGCACTGAGGCAAGATGCTAAAAGGCCTAAAAGCCTCTCATAAAGTCAAGGTAAAGTGCCTTCAACCTGGGTAACTGGCAGCAACTTTAGCACTTCTATGGTCTATGCAACTTGCCAAAGGCCTGTTGCAGGCATAAATTGTTTTTATCCCTAAAGGTCCACCCACAAGTTTTCTGAAAACAATACAACTATTTTAAGGGCAGGGAAAACCATAAAACCCTTAACCTAGACCAAAACTTCATAAGTAATAGGGTAAAGTGGTTATTCTCACTTTAAAATATTTACTTAGCCTCTTTGTTATTGATAGAGTTCCTCCTGTCATTCACACGTACTCTAGGAGGCACAAGAGGAAGTGTGAAGAATCAGCCTTTGGGGGTAGCTTTTAAATAGCATTTACATTAAACGAGCTGTTATATGTAGTTATGGATTAGGGCGGTTAAAAACTTCATACTTTCTTGGACACAAACTTCTTTACTTTGGCTTCTATACTTCTTTTCCTCAATCCAGACTTCTTCTTTTTCCTCTGGAGCCTCTAACCTCAAGCTGTTGTACTTATAATCTAGCACCTTAAGTGTACCTTTTGTATTAGACTACCTTGATAAAACATACCAGCCATATATTCAATGATCAAGTATCAGGTTGGCAATTAGACAACTCATCGTTAAACTTCTACATAGATATATATAAGTATATCATGCTGATACAAAATTGAACACTTAAAATTTCAAGTGAACGATCTGCCCAAAATTTACCAGGAAATTCACAATGAATATGATATTAATCAAGAGTATTTAGTAAATTAAAGGCGACAAGTTGCATGCTGGATCTCATCTCAACAATCCAATATTAGGTGGCATGTCTGACATCTAAAAGGCCAGATCATCTAGAGTTTTAGCAGCCGCAATTTTCAAGGTTTGTTCATGGCTCTTGATCTGCTGCTAACTGGCAATTTGTAATACATTGTGATTTCAAGAAAGCTTATCAACATATCAACAACAGAAATCAGTTATCCCAAGTCTTATTTGATCAAGATAGACCTATAGAATACTATAAAAGAACAATAGTGAAAAGTACAAAGTAAATAGTTACTATTAAATTATAGTTATTCCAAGATTTAGGATCACAATTAAGGACTAACAAGTTTCAAGCAAATATAAAAGGGGAAGAATTGAATGCATCTGTTGCACTTTTGGGTAGGAATTCAAACCGGCCCAAATGGGGATTTAACCAACCCCATCCCCCTCCCCCGCTCTTCTAAAGTTTCTCCCCCAGAAAAAAGTCGAATGGACAAAGTTGTCCAAATTAAAAGCACACAGCTGTAATAATAAAGCATCAACAGAAAGTATAGTTCGGAAACTTACCAATGGTAGGAATTGTAGTTACGATCTCTCCAAGCTTGAGCTTATACAAGATGGTGGTCTTACCAGCAGCATCAAGACCCACCATGAGAATTCGCATCTCCTTTTTGGCAAAGAGCCGACTGAAAAGCTTCGTGAATGTCAGTCCCATTTCTCCTTCAAACAACGGACCCCTGCATATACCCATGCATAAAACATCAACCCGCTACAATATTTTAGGAGCAAATTTCCAAGTGTTAAAATTTTATTTTACCACAGAAAAGTCTGTCTTAATCAGGGAATCTAACCAAGCCGAATCTTAAAGGAGAATAAAGTTAATGCCACTGAATTTGGCCAGATCTCATGATAATGAGACCACAGCGTCATACAAAATGATTCGAAATTCGCATCGCATAGTCTTTTGAAGGCAACGGAAATGGATCGCACAGATCAAAATTACGATTTGAACAAGGCATTTTAAACATATCCTGCCGGATTCATTACAATATCGCGAAAACAAACTATCAACGTTCCCGAAATCATCAGATCAACACAGTTAGAGAACAATAAAAAAAAAAAAACCAAATAGTCAAAATACCAATAAAACCAACCCTCACTAGAAACTTCATTCAATCGGAAAATGAGCTTAAAACTCTTATCCCCTAAACGATACACGCTAGAAACACTTCTGGAATGCAATAATCCAAAGGAAAAAAAATAGAAACTTCAAAAACGATATTCAAAAAGATTGAGGGGACTGACGAAACAGAAGGAATGAATGATCTTCCATTTAAAATTTACCTAGAGAGATGTGCGGCTGAAGGATCTAGTAAAATAAATCGAATCGCAGAAAGCGAGAGAGACACGCGAGGGCTGAACCACGCTTTGGAGCAATGCGAATGCGAGGGGATTTTATAACAAAGGAAGTGAATTGTCCATAAAATCTAGTAAAACTACGGAATTACCCTCGATCGGAAAGCGGAATTGATCAGAAGCTTCCAAATGCAACAACCCTTCATGTAATCTGACACCAATACTTATTTTATAGCAAGATTTTTCAATGTGTAAATTTCAATTCGAGTTTATGAAATTATGAATGGCTGACATATTTTTTTACATTCATTTTAAATTAATCTAAACATGCTATATACACCCTAATTAATAACATAGGATCAAATTCAGACAAAAAGAAAGAATAAGACCAAAATATATAAGAGTTTATATTGCGTAACTGTTTATGTATGTAATATTGTATAATAAATTAAACTATGGACAGTATTTTTAACCGCATCTTTAAATTAAAAATTAAATTAATTAGATTATCAAAAAAACTAATTTTTTTAATTAAAGAATCAATCAGAAGTTCATCCAAAAAATGTAGATGCAAAATAAAGGTTTAAATGAGAAAAAAAATAGTAAAAAAGAAAAAGAAAAAAGAAACACTTGACAAAACGTCATGTGTTAACCATGATCTAAGAAAACTTTAAAAATTAAACAAGGAGAACTTGTAAGGACCCTGATAGCTATCATGTATTCACAAAGAGATGTTAACTCTCTGATTTCTGGAACTGTCAAAATCGACTTTGCAGCTCTTACCCGTTCAAATAAATCGATATGTTAATTCCATAAGAAGATGGGTCTTTCTTCTTCCTGTATGCAAGGAAGCATCTTGATGTGTGTTAAGATTTGCTCATGATAGCTGTACATTTGCATTGCTTGCCAGATTTCACCGAATAAACAGACACCTTCCTCTTTTTCGTGGCAAACACGCTTTAAAAAGAAATGAATCTGGTTAACTTCAGACATTGCTGTCCATGAATAAATTAATGCATTGCTTTAAATATATATATATAGTATGACATGAAAGATATTTAAAATTTTCAATGCAATTTATTCAAGTTTTATTATAAATTTTTATACTTTTATTTTTCAATATTTTAGACCTTTCCACAAGCAGTGTTATAGGCACTTAGAAAATTAAAAAAATATATATAAAGACTTAGAACACTAAGAAAAAAATACAGGAACTTATAGCAAAATTTGAGTAAAATATAAAGACCAAAGTTATGTTTTCCCAAAAAAAAAAACTTCTTTCCACTGTTCATTAGGGACTATTTTTTTATTTTGGTTGAAAATAAACAACTATATATTTTTGCAATCAAATTAGATTATAATCCAAACAAAATTTGGTATAGGAGCCAAATTTTACTAGTACCATGACGTGAAGCCTTTTTTTCCCCATCACATTGAATCATCTATTCAACTTACTAACTCCCAGATTTTTTTTAAACACAAATGTGCCGACATCTATTAATGATCCTGCGAAACCATGTGTAGGAGTATAAACCATCTATTAATTAACCATATCCTCCTGCCCAAAAAATTATATCTTGTGAAAATTCATATTTTTAATATAAACTAAACCCATTTTTAATATGCTGTACAGGATCTGAAAAGTTGATTGTATCGCCCATAATTTATAAATGATGCCACTAATTAAAAAATTTATCATACATTGACCTTCATAAAAAAAATTGAAATGAATGTCAAACCAACTTAACTTCTATAGATTCTTTTAAATTAATGTTGATCTAACATAGCCTCGATGTTTTTTGCCCCTCGCGCAACCTTAATCCTTTTTCTTTTTTTTCTTTTACTTTTCCATTCCAAAAAAAAAATGAAATATTGTTAATAAAAAAAATTGCATGCTGAGAATGAAAACTATCTCGTATCTGAATAATTTTAAAAACATATATTAGCGTTTTTGTCACAACTCAACATTACGCTACGTCTTCCAAACAAATTTCGCTCACCCATTCCTTGCAGACTTAAATCCACGCATATGATTGAAGAATCACTGCAGCAAGGCAAAGAATTACTTCCTCTGTTAAAAAATATAAGATATTTTTAATCAAATTTCACCCTTAATAAAATAGTTACTTACTTTTCAACTAACCCAATCTTTACATATTTACCCCTATTAAATACCTTACAATAAATTAAAGTTATCATTAATAAGGATACTTTTGAAAAAAAAATGATTACATATCAAAAGATTAAAAATACTATATATTTTTAGATAAAAGGAGTAAGATGGTTTACTTGGTGGTTGATTAGCCATATTGTGAGGCCGAATTTAGTTTATTCCCACTACATTTTCACTACAATTTTAAATGGTTTAAATTAAATTTTAACAATTCAGATTTATTTAAACTTTTTAATAACTATTTAATCTGATTTATTAAATTTAATCGAACCCACAATTGAGAAGATCTCTCCGCCATGTGATTCCATTACTTGGTTATTTACGAGCAGATTGCGTCAATCAGCCAAGACTTTCCCGAGAGGAAGAATGCGCTCTTTAAAGGCTATTCCCAACATCCTACCATCCGTACTTAACTAAGGCTACCCAAGAGAGAGATGCCCAAAGATCTTCACAAGGGGAATTGCTGCATCTACGGCTACTTCAGATGGAAGAGTGAGCAACTCTTGCTCTTTTCAACTGGTCTGGGATAAGTGCTGTTTTCGTAACCGGACTTGAGAGTAGGGAAGGGGGGAAAAAAGTCAACGACTAGTTGCATCAACGAATGGATATGTTCCTGCTATTAGATTATTCAATGAGAGCATTACAGAAGAGAGAGCCTTCAGACAATGCATTCAACAGCTTACAGGGCTTCTCTCCAGTGAGCACCCATCGGCACAACTAGAGCTTAAGATCCATATAAATGTTATCTAACCCATCAATTTTTCTTGCACAGGCACATTCTTTAGGCACGCTGAGTTTTTCAATATTATTGATACTCAAATATTTGAAATAAAGATTACAATCTTTTCTTATTACCATTTTTAACTTCTTCACATTGAATAAAAACAGTATTAAGGTGGAAGGACGTAGACGAGTTCAGAAATATACAGTCGGAGTCAGCGATTTTAATTTAAAAACTTCAACTCGATTATCACCAACATAATTGCAAGAATAATCTGAGAATCCTACAAAAGGTAGGCGAAAATTAACCCTACTTCAAAAAAGAGTTCATGAAGTACGAGATTATAATTGACAACGTAATCTAGACACGAGAAATTCTATTCAACCTAAGCGGCCATAAGTTAGAAGAAGACACAGAAATTAAGTTAAGCTGGCGTGTTGATATAAATTTAGCCAGGAGAATAAAAGAAACTATATATTATATACAGTAGCAGACAAACTCACTGCCTTCCAGATGATGAAGTTCCAAGAATATATACAGAATTCAGAAGCCTCCGGACATCTGAAGCTGCAAACAAGGGAGCAAGTGTGAGGAAGATGAGGGCAGAAGTCCCCACACTTGAATTTGTTGAGGTGAGACTTAAAGGAGAAACAAGAAACAAGAAACGCACAGGCACTGCAAATTCACCAGAAAAGTAAACCATTAAAAAAAAAAAAAAAAAGCCTTGTCACCTTTCACGCAGTTGCAAAACAATATTATCCCAGTATTGATCTTTCAAGAAGAGAGCTAAAGTGACAATAAAGCTCACCAGTTCTGTTTGAAATTCGAGCTAATAATAATGGGGTTAGCGCCAATACTGAGCCCAGCGATGAATGGTCTCAACCATCTGGGGAAACAAGGCACTAACACTCTCATTGATAAGATCCTGGAAGAAATGTATGCTAGCTTCATCATCCAAGTCTAACCGAAACTTCTCCTGAAGCTGTATGGCAACGGAATTTCTAAATAGTGTGAGAAACCAAAGAACATGTTTTGACTGAGTGATGTTTAAGCAAGAATAAACTCACCTTCAGAATTCCTTTTTCAGGATCAGAAGCAATGTCAGGAATATTGGAACCCGCCATTAAATAAAATAAGTTCAAAATTAGGTTGCTAGATTTGCGAAGGATGTTGTATGCTTCACAACAATAGGACTTGAACCTTGTGTAATATTGGCTGCAGGGAGAGTCGTCAACGATACACATTTTAAGCCACCAAACACATGATGCAATCACCACCTTGAATCTAAAATGAATAATCCTAATGTGAAATTTACCTCTCAGCTCCCCCCATAGCCTCAACCATTTCCTTGCAAAGCTTCATCGGTGGCGGAAATGGCTTAGGATCTCGCCCAAGAATGAAGCCAAAATCAACATGGAAAAGACGCCCATCATCTCTAAGGAGGAGGTTGTCTAAATGCCTATCAATCAGAATAAACTCCTAAGAATTCACTTCAAGTGGGAAAACAAATATTTTTGTAAATTGCAAAGGATATTTTTGTCTTTTCAATTTTTTATATATATTTAAATTCCTTCCATATCCTTCTAAAGCCATACCAAATACATTGATGGTAATCGATATTGCATTGCATTGCAATAGGGATGTGTAATTGAACCAAACGGAACCCTTAATAGCAGTAAATCCTCATTGTAAATTCAAACCCTTGTCAAACCCAATGAGAAGTGTTCGCATCACAGAGATAAACAAGATTGGAGTGTTTAAAGGATTAAGGTAAACTACTCTAGATGAAAAATACTAAAATTAACAATCACCTGTCTCCAATCCCAAGTATATATGTTATAACAGAGTAGCCAGCACAGCTTTTAATAAATGTTTCAAGACAGGCAGCTGTAATGCCAAAAGGACCTTGGTCATCAGGATGAAACTTCTGCAAATAGCTGATAATACTACGATGCTCTGACAGGATCTAGAATGCAAGGATTATATATTAGTTTGGGAATGAATTCAACAGCATGCAAATACAAGAATTTAGAACAGATCATACCTGTGCCAATGAACGAGATGGAATGAATTCTAACATGCCTTCATCTTGCCCAGTTGCGAGCACTTTGTATGGCGTTAAGTGCAGATCAAGATTTTCTAACTTTAGCAATCGGTCCATGAGTGAGACCATTTGGACAACCTAGAAAAAATGTGTTAAACTAAACTAATTCTTTCTAAACATTCATATCCAGACACATGCGATAAAGCTTCTGCGCATGCTTAGACACACAGAAAAAGCAAGAATCTGAATGATTACCAACTGATCCTGCCGAATATCATCTCCCTTCTTAAATATGATTTTACAAGTACCGCCATTTGCCGTTCTAAAGGTAAGTCGCAATGGATGCAATGCGCTCTTAAATATTGATGACTCTGATGGTATAATCCCAGTTATGAGGATATTTGGTGCCAAGGGTGAACGTATAGGCTAGAATCAAAACAACACATCAATATTTGTTTGAGAAACTGAATAAAATTTTCTTGAAATAATATGGATATAAATCAAGAGACTACAATTACATAATGTTTCTGGTGATGTATCATTCAATGAAGTACAAAAATGTTTAAAAAATTATAACAATAAAGAGCATCATGGTAAGGACATACCTCTTCGAAATAGGTAAGTTCACTAAGAATCCCAGAAAGTACATGTCTAAGCTTTTCAATCTTCTTTTGGGTATTACCACGGGTACCCCTTACTTCTCTTGAGACTGAACACAATTGAGCAGTTAATTCTGTCTGACGCACCAAACTCTGCCACAATTTAAACCCATCTTCCTCTCCATTCACACCATTAGCTGCCTATTTCAAAGACAATGTCATCAATAAACTGATTCTACCTCAGACCATCATTTTTAATCACCTTTAATAACTTCAAAATATCACTAAGAAGATCAACATGTTGCCAGAAAAGTTTTAATTGGATTCCTTTACCCCCCAACCAAAAAAAAAAAAACTATATATATTTGCAAAAATTAAACCATGATGTATAATTAAATTAGCCAACTTAAGCGAAGCCTTATGCTGATTTCATAATAAAATCTTAGGAAAATTGCCATAAAATCCCTCCTTAGGAGGGAAATTGTTTTGAGGAATCAAGACCAATTTAAGGACCAAACGCATAACAGGTTTATCACTTTGCACACCAGGCCTACTACCTTGCACCTCAAGCCTACCACCTTGTACCTTGCACACCAAGCCTACCACCTTGCACACCAAGCCTACCATCTTTCACCTTGCAGGTCAAGTTTGTGACCTTGCACACCAAACCTATTACCTTGCACACCATAAAGGTGCAAATTTCATGGAAATACAACCTATGATCCTGAAAGTGATGGTCTACAAGAAAATAATAACATGGACAACAGAATGTTCAGACCACAAGCATGTAAATTACATGATATTTTTGAAGACTAACATGTAACTCTGTTACAAGGTGATAGGCTCGGTGTGCATTTAATACTTAAATTGGTTTTGGTCCCTCTAAACAATTTCCCTCCCAAGGAGGGATTTTATGGCAGTTTTCCTACTAAAATCTTTTTCTTTAAGTAAAAGCATATCTGCTGGCATCTCCAAGCTCTACATTTTGAAAACATTTTATCAAAGAAAATTCACTTATTCAGGGAATAAGAAAAATGTTTAGATACACTGAAACAACAGAAGATTTCACATAATCCTAGGCATTCAGTGACAGGATATCAGAACAGTTAAGACGCAGAAATGGTTTTGCTATTATGTCAAACTTGCAAATGAAGAGAGGGAAAGGGGAACAAGATATCAAACAGCTCTACATTAATAAGCAATTAAGTGAAAATTATTATGGCAAATACAAATATATTAATAATTCATACAAGCTCACACCTTCAGCATATTCTCCTCCAGAATCTCATATGTGCAATAAAACCGTTTGGCATATGCAGGATCATAGAGTTCAGCAGTTACATACCAGCGAAGAAAGCTGGCAAATTCAATATTGCGTAATGCTGTTGACGTTTAAAAAAGGCTCACTTCAGACAGGAGGGTATAAAATGAAAGAAACACTTGATCTCACTCTAAAACCCTCATGCACATACCACGTCCGACAAGGAAATGACAAAGGCGAGATTTATCAGAGCGCTCAAATCGAAGAGCTTGAACCAATTGAAGCAAGTAACACTGAAGCTCTTCATTATCTGCTCTTTCAAGAACACTAACTGCATATGCACGGACCTGCAAAGCAGAAGTAGAGTAAGGCCTGATATATCTTGTGGCCAATAAAACAAAAAGCTGTAAATATGGTGTAATGCATCTATACTAGCACCAAAAGAAGTGGATGCATTGGCATTTCAAGTTGAACAACCACTTGATTAGGTGACAGCATTATAAACATATCCTTACACTGATAAGTATTCAATTAATATTTAACTGATAAGTATTCAATTAGTATTTAAGGATAAAACAGCAGAAGTTTAGATATGTCAAGGGTTAGTGTTGAAGTAAGGCCCATGAAAGTTTTGGCATGAATTTCTTATGTGAAACCTCCTTGGGCTTGAAATGTGGACAAAGTACACAACTATTTTACTGGTATAAGAATAAAAAATTAGGGGTGGAAAGAATCAAAGTCTTGCCCGACTGTTCAACGAGGCTTTGCCATCATGTCAACGATCAAGAGCATGGATGAATTGATCTCTTAAATGAAAGACTAAGAAATCTCCTACACTCGAGGGTAGCATCCAAAGTCCTATTCTATCAATCTTTCTAACATTTTTCACCCATAGCTGCTCTAGAAAAGAGGCTTAACATCTTTGAAGTTTGAATGGTTATCATCACTAATTCAGATACAAAACAAAAGGTCCACTGTAGCACGAGACCACAAGCCCCTATAAAATGGATTATCATTAGAAGCCCAAGCAAGTGAAAACATTCAACTTTTTTCAGAGCAAAATCCAGTTGCTTCAATAGTTGTGTCGTCCAAAAGGTCAATTATGGCTGTGAACTACCTCAGACAAGCGAATATATCCAAAATCTGTCACTTTGGAGATACTCCTCTAATTCTATTTATAAATTACTTCCAACATGTTTCACCTAGAAGGAAAGCCTTTGTGATGAAAATTTGTGAATCATGTAACTTATAAAAAGGATCAAAAAAATTCTTCTCTCTTTGCCCTATAAATAGAACCGAAGAGAGTATGCCCTTAGTAGCACACTTTTAAAAACAACACTATGTAAATGTAAAACATACCTCAGATTACTGTCAATCCAACTGCCAGAGTCACAAGCTTTGGTGGCACATTTTTTTCTAAAATTATATTAAATGTAAAAAAACCTGAGATAACTGTTAATGTAATTGCCAGAGTCCCAATCCTCGCAGTGCACAAAATTCAGACTACCCAGCTAAAGCTATAATATTTATATATAGTTCATAATTTTGATCATCAGTAATAATAAATTTAAAAACATGGTGAATCAAGGAGAGATGATATGGGCATAACAACAGAAGCATATGTAAGGATTCATAAAAATTTTGTGATGGTATCCTGTAAAATTTACCATTACACCAGGAAAAGACAGAAAAGGCAGCTTATCATTTGCGACAGTATTTAAAATGAGGTATTATGGACATACCAACCAGAGCTTAAGTAAGAAATAACTCTAGGTTTGAGATGGTACTCCTCAATATTTACCATTACACCATGAGAGACAAAAAGCCAGCTATATTAACAACATTTAGGAAAGCAGGCATAGCTCTGAACTAAAATATACGTCCAAATTACCTCTTCACTTTCAAAAACAGGAGATAAGAGTTCAAGCGCATCACAGACATCAATCATTTCCCATTTTCCCATCAATTCCACAGCTTGTTTTGCTTCCTGCAGTCAAATGAATATTATAAATTAATAATGTTGTCATTATCTTCTTAAAAATAGAAAAAAAAAAGATTAAGAAAAAGGAGAAAGAGAGATAACAAGTCAACCATTGAAATAACACAAATCAACAAAAATAGAAATTCAAAGCATGTGATTTGTTGGTTGATAAACTTTCAGTCCAATTTAGATAATGACAATGCAGCTATATGTACAATAACGAGAAACTGGGAAACAGTTAGTATCTGAATGGAAACAAAAAGCATGATAGGCCTCAAACAGATCCAGTCCCAGAATTACCCCAAATTCCTGTTTCCATGTAAAAGACCCTGGTCATCCTCATATACACTTTCAGAAAAAATGTCTCTATATAAACATCAGTAGTTCTCACATTCTCCAAAAGCAAAAGGTTCCCTGCTCAAAATCCTTGGAATTAGTATTTGACTCTTGTTGAAGTGTGCCCAATACTTCCAGTTCTTAATGAAGAAATATGGTAGTAGACATTCTATTTTACTAATTACACAAGTATCCGTCTATATTTTTATGAAAACCAAGGCAGTATAGGATGCCTAGACCCAGATGGAGAAGAATGACATACTCAATAAGGTACTTGAATGGGTTGGTTTCCCTACCCCAATGACAATAGCTAGCTTTTTGCGATAATTTCCCATCTGATAGGAGCTTAGAATAATCAGAAGAAATAATAAGAATAAATTTATTAAGATGATATAGAACAAGAATCTCATTCTGTATTTCTCTCAATAGCCACGCTCGGGAGAATCTCCAAAGGGTTTGAAAAACTGTTTTATCAATCTGATGATATGCTAGCTTCTAAGTTGCTAGTCATATTTATAATGCTGAATACAATCTAAAATAAAATTTAGATAACTATTTAAGATAATGAATAAAATCTCAATAACTAGATAACTAAATAAAATTTCCTAAAATCTAAAATACTGAATAAAATCTAACTAGATAAAATACTGAATCTAAAGAATTAAATAAATAAATAAAATCTGAAGAAATATCTAAATACTAAATAAAATACTAAATTAAATGAAATTAATCCGAATTTATCTTTTGCCTCTTCCTTCTTGAATAAGTTTGAATTCTATCCAGAATCTTATCATTACCCCCTCTTGAAAACTCAACTTGTCCTCAAGTTGAAAAGAAGGGAATTGAGCATGCAATAGGTCATAGTCCTCCCAGCTTGCTTTTTCCACAGGTCACTCGTGCCATTCCACCAATAATTCAAGCAAATGATAACGAGTCCATCTGTGATCTAAGACTCAATGAGGTCGTACATGCAACACAAAATCAAGTGATGAATAAGGAATGACTACTCAATGACCATAGAAAATTTTTTGATTAACTAGATGGAATTTAGGACGAGATGTTGGATTGTTTTGCAAATCCTGCATTATTTCATTAGTGAATGGATCTAAGCCCAATGCAGAGGGGAGGTCATGTAGCTTGGTCACAAAGGGTACTGCCAGTTGAAAAAAATCTGCATGTTACGGTCATCTTGACAACGCATCAACCCTCTTATATCCCACTCCTGCTTTGTAGATAATAGTAAAATTAAATGGTAAAAACTTGATGATCAACCTATGTTAAGTGTTGGTGGTGATACATTGTAGTAAATATTGAAGGCCGGCGTGATCTGTTCTAATAAAGAAATGCCTCCCGAGGAGGTAATGGAGCCATTTTTGTACTGCAAGCACTAACACAAGGAGTTCACAATCGTAAGTGGACTTGAAGCAGTTAGAGAAAGAAAACCCTTTACTGAAGTAAGCAATGGGATGGTTGTTTTGCAACGGTATAGCTCCAATCCCTTCAATGGATGCATCGCATTCAATTGTAAGTTCATCTTCAAAATTGGGCAAGTGTAAAACAGGTGCCATCATCAATGCAAGTTTCAGGCAATTAAAAGCCTTTTGAGCTGGTTCAAACCATAAGAAGGCATCCTTCTTAATCAACTAAGTAAGGGGTCGCACAATAATTCCAAAATTCTTCACAAAACATCAGTAATATCCAACAAGGCCTAATAACCCATGTAACTCCTTTACATTTTCTGGAATAGGCCACTCACGTACTGCCTCCACCTTTTCAGCTTCAACCTCCACTCCTTGTGCAGAAATTTGGTGCCCTAAAAAGGGAACTCTTAACCTCCCTATAAAGCATTTTTTTAAATTGACACTGAACATATTTTCCTGTAATGTTTGCAAGACAGTGTGCAAGTGATCTTGGTGCTATTGGAAGGAGGAACTGTAATCAAAATATCATCAAAAAATACCAATACAAATTTTCACAAATAGGGACGAAATAAATCGTTCATAACTGCTTAAAAAGTGGCTGGAGCATTAGTTAAGCCGAATGGCATACTGTGAATTCATAGTGCCCAGAGTGAGTTCGAAATGCTGTTTTGTAAATATCACGAGGTGACATCCTAATTTGGTGGTATCCAGATCGTAGATCTAATTTGGAGAAATAAATCGCCCTGTGTAGCTCACCTAATAACTCATCAATATTGGGAATTGGATATTTGTCTGAATTGTAATGTTATTCAATTTTCGATAATCTAAACAAAAACACCATGAACCATCCTTCTTTACGACCAACATGACTAGGTTGGCAAATGGGCTAGAAGTGGGTTGAATGAACCCCTTTTTTAGTAATTCTTCATCTTCAACTTGCTTCTCAATATTGGTTTTTTGATAATGAGAATACCTATACGGTCGTAAATTAGGAGGATTAATAGGGTAATGGTATGTGAGTGATTTCTAACTGGTGGCAAGTTTGTGGGTTCTTCAAAAACAAATGGGAATGCTGCAATTAAAGTTCCGGGTTGAAATATTGGAAAGGTTTAGAGTCAGCAGAAACTTCAATTCGTTGCATTGAGTTAAGTTAGCACCTCTAGTAGTATTAGGGACTCCTTGCAGCTTATACCTCTTACCATTTATCCAGAAAATCATAAAGAGTTGATTCCAATTGGCTTGCACTGTGTTAAGGGATGCTAGCCACTTAATACCAAAAACTAGATCAACCCCCTAGAGTGAAGGGGAAAAAATCTTCCTTAATGGTTAGACCTATCAGTTCTACTTCCACATTTTTGCAGATTCAGTTGCAACGCACAATAATACTGTCATCTATTTGAACTCCAAAAGTAGAAATAGACTGGGTAGGTAGATGAAGTTCCTGGATTAATGCATCAAAGATAAAATTGTATGTGGACCCACTAGCCACTAATAATAACACCTGTCGAGAGCCCAATCTTCCACTAAGTTTCATTGCTGACCCAAAGTTACTGCTTAGGATGGCATTTAATGAAATTTCAGCTCCCTGTGGTTCTATTTCTTCGAGTGCAGCATCTTCAAGTGGAGGAATAATCTCCTCGCCTTCTTCTATGACCTCTATTAAGGAGAATGAACCCTTACATCGGTGCCCGGGCCAAAATTGTTTCCCACAACAAAAGCAAAGGCCCTTCTCCCTCCTCCGTAGATGCTCAGCATCCATGGAAGCTGGTCTAGCCAAGCTTGATGATGCAAGGTTGAATGAAGAAGATGTTGCTGGGTTTCTGTACGAGTTCGAAGATGTTATCGAAGCTTTTTGGGCCTAAGTCGTCTATTCTCATGCAAAGGTAAAGGAAGAATTATATCAATTGTGGGTCGGTAGAACGTTTAGCTTGGACCCACGAGAGAAAAGTTTTCCTTCAAACTCTAGTGCAAGACTCATAGCGCGGTAAACACTCCTAGGTTTGTGAATACATGCATCTGCGCGTGGGTCATCCTTCAGTCCGCAAAAAACACCGAGTAGGCAATGCTCCGGCCAATTATTGACTCAAAATGATCATTTAGCAAATTCTACTCTGTATTCCTGCACGCTTCCTTCTTGTTTGATGCTGCACAGGAATTCGCCAAGGTTTTGGTACTCAAGGGGCCCGAAATTCTCCTGAAAAGCTATCACTAGTTCCTCCCAATAATGAAGCATCTGTTCATGGCTGATCCAAGCAAACAAGTCAAAGGTGTCACCTTTCAGAGACAATGAAGTTACGTCTACTTTATCTCCTTTAGGTGTGCCATAATATTTGAAGTATTTTTCAACCTTTAAGAACCAACCTCGTGGATCACCTCCACTAAATTTTGAAAATTCAATTTTTATGCAATGAAATCTGCTACATCTATGATTTTCTTGCTCTTCTTTACTTTCTTCTTCATAATAATGCTTGTGGAAGCCCTCTTGAGCATTTTTGCCTTTGTTGAATGTAGAGGCTTCAAGTGCCTCTATTTTCTCTTTTAATAAATCAAGAGTTTCAAGTCTTGAGGCTATGGCAGCTAGATTTGAAATGATCGAGTCTTGATTTTCTAGGGAATGATTGGATGAATTGTCAAATGGTTTGTTTCTTGACCCGTAGGAGTGGTAAACATGGCTTTGATACCAAATTGATAGGAGCTCAGAATAATCGGAAGAAATAATAAGAATAAATCCATTAAGATAATATAAAACAAGAATCTTGTTCTATATTTATCTCAATAGCCACGCTCGGGAGAATCTCCAAAGGGTTTGAAAGACTATTTTATTAATCTGATGATATGCTAGCTTCTAAGGTGCTAGTCATATTTATAATGCTGAATACAATCTAAAATAAAATTCAGAGAACTATTTAAGATAATGAATAAAATCTAGAAAACTAGATAACTAAATAAAATTCCCTAAAATCTAAAATACTGAATAAAATCTAACTAGACAACATACTGAATCTAAAGAATTAAATAACTAAATAAAATCTGAAGCAATATCTAAAAACTAAATAAAATACTAAATTAAATGAAATTAATCCTAATTTATCTTTTGCCTCTTCCTTCTTGAATAAGTCTGAATTCTATTCAGAATCTTATCACCATCCCACTTGGTTGCCTATCAATAGGTATCGAAACTAGATATTGAAGATGGAAGGCTAACTGGTAGAGGATTTTGACTAGTGAGAAAGCTAAGTGTCACAAAATGTAGCCACTGGGATGTTGACTCTCCTAGGTTGTCCAATTGATGGAAATCAAAGTAGTGTGGGATGCCTAGTCCCACATTGAGCAATATGAATTACTTTATGGAGTATTTAAATGGGTGGGTTCTCTCAAATTTTTAAGGAAGGGTTCCTCACACCCTTGAGTGCCCATCATATTTACAATTGAATATTTTACCATTGAAAAACTTTAAGTGGACACAGGATGCATCGTATTCAAGTTATTGTAACTTGTCTTGGTAAAACAATTCACCCAAATAACGTCGATTGCTTAACTTCTAAGATTCTATTAAGCTGACCTGGATATCACTCCATTCAACACAACGAAGGAACTTCGTGAGAGCCTTCTTTTCAGACATCAGAGAGAAACGGAATTTCCATAAGAGCTGCCTCTCATCTCCACTCAATGTTCTTGTTGGAGGGTATTTTAGTATTCTTTGTATGGACCTTGGCATTGAGGAGAAAGAAGAGCAAGCAAACATTCAGACAATGCAGTTATATGCCAGAAATATTGAACAAATATAATAGCGAGAAAGGGAAGATTTTTTCCCCAAATTACATCCAAAAGAGAAAAACAAATATGTATGTAAATAAATAAAAAGGTTCAACACATATAAGCTACACAAATTACGTCAATGCTATCACTTCCTTCCCAATTTTTCCATTGCAACAAAGACATATGATATGAGCATCCCATGTGTTTTTCTTTCACTGGCATTTTGAAAGGCAAATAAATGTTCAATTATCTAACAGAATATGACTCTTAGTACTTTGAACAATACTGACCATGGGCTTTTGGCTGCAGTTATGTGACACCATTTCTTTTTACCTTAAAGAATGATCATCTTCAAGATTTTGGGGAAAGAATAAAACTCCAAAAACATATTTTGATCATATTTTACTAAAAGTATAATGTTCAGCAACAAAATAATCCTAGTTAATTCCAAAACCATTTATTTATGATAGACATGTGGCACAAAAGACATATGGTAGTGAAACCCCATTAACACTTTAATTGATTTTTCTTCCTCATTTGATTAACATTGCATCCAGATGAGAAAATATGCAGATCTATGGACTAATAATGTCTGACTATGAATCTCCAAAGTCATTAACAAATCCATATTGTTTCATGATTAGAAAATTTCATGTAGCAGAAGATCTGGAGGCCCTTAACAACAATGCTCATCAATTACAGGAATTGGCATCGCAACAGGAATGAAGTTATAATTTGCGCATGATAAAATCATTAAAAAATCAACCTAGAGTTAGTAATCATATTTAAAGAAGAAAAGCAATATATTTGGTTATAGTTGTCATAATTATATCAGACATACAAATTAAAGCATACTTTCTCTCAATTGAGCTTGGCTTCAGATCTCTATCTATAACACCACGAGTCAAGCTCCTTGCCAACTTTAATTGCTTGTGCTCAGAGGGATTTATCTTTCCCACTTCTGGGTCCCAGACAATAACAATATCATTGGTTGAAGCTATAGGGGATGGCAATAAAAAATTTGCACCTGATTCCTACATTCAAACACAGGGTTACTGCAAGGGAATAATCTGAATCAAAATTTCCAGCATGATTTTTTTTTTTTTTGGGAGGATGTATTTCTTAGATGTATTTCTTAGTCACACCAATATCTCTGTACCAGTGCGTAGGATATCTGAGTAACTTGGAGGCCTATGTTAGAGCAAATAACTTAAACACCTGTACACCAATGCATGTAATTCAAGAAAATGAAACACATGGATACCTGAAAAGCAACTTGATGCTCAAAACTACAGAAATCCACAACCAAGTACAAATGAGAGCTTCCATTTTGTAAGCTTTCACATTCCTTAATTTTCTCCATAGTTTTGAATGTGAGGCGATCCAGCCAATCAATGGGGTTTATCTGACCTCGCTCATACTTGTTTTCCAGCTTTTCCAAACGTTCCAACTCCCCACGCTCGTGCCTAGGGACCTAACAACGACAAGAGAAAAGATAGGGAAAAAAAAATGAAACATCACATATAAATTAACTGAGAACTGCTTATTTTAAACCTTTCCAGGAGTGCTAGTAGGATAAGTTCCATCTGCCTCTCTTCCTGCCCAAAGCCTAAGCTTTTGCTTCCCAGTTTTAAGTTGTTTTTTGCTGTTAAAGAGAAGAATTGTGGCTCCTCCAATCAACCCTTCTTCTGTCCCTTGAGAAACATCCCAAACCTGTTGATGCAAAATTATTACCAAAAGTTCATGCCTGACAAATTTGAAGTAAATTTTGAACATATTTTGATTTATTATATTACAGATTAACTATTTGAAAAATAAGCAATAATTCGGACAACAGACAGTAGGTGAAGCAAAAAACAAAAGTACAAGAAATTACCATTATTATAAAAAAACGATGGTAACAGTAATAATAGAAATGAAACCCAAAATAATCACTAAAAAGAAAAAGAAATTTCAAATTCTTCTGGGACCGAATTTCTATTTGATTTTGGCAATTTACTTTTCACTCTTAGAAACTACTATCCAGGATTTGCAATTTTTAAGGTTTTTAAGCAAGCTCTCAGGGTTTTACTCAATTACAGTTTGGTTTGATTTAGGACAAATATAGATCTATGAAGTATGAGAATTAGGTGTCAAAATTTTATTCACAATAATACCATGATTCTTGTAGCATTTCCTATATCCATCCTTTGCATTTTTAAAAAAGTTGAAGGGCATAGCATAATCCCAAAAGTATTCTTCTCTCACCCCCCTCTCACATACACGTTATCTCTCCCCCTTCTCCCCCTAATCTATCCTTCATTTTAACTCCTGCATCAATTAGCAGTAAGAGCTAATGAAGTCAGCTATTATTGTGAGGTGCAAGAAAACACTCAACCAAATTCCAGTTCTAGCCCCAGTTTGAGGAGGGGCACAAAAAATGCAATAGAAGTAATGCTACCAGATAGTTAGAAAACCAAAAATTCTGCATAATAGCTTGAAGATGGACAAAGTATACATATAAATTGAAATTGGAAACTTACAGTAAAAGCAAGTTGTGACTGAACAGTTAAATCTCGGTATTTAGTTGTCAATGTGATGAGCTCATTCCAATAATACGATGGTCCTGTAGATTCCAACCTTCACCAAATGATTGAAATTTATCAAGTTCAATGAAAATAGTATAAAGTCAACATAAAACTGTCATATGGCTGTTAAATAAGAATCATTCTTTATCAAGGAAAGAAAAGCATGCCAGTGAGTTGATAGCTCACATGGCAGCCATTATGATTGAGGTGAATTTGATGTCAATGGTGTGATCCCTACACATGCCCCTACAACCTAACATCTGTCCTTCAGGTCCCCAAAATTAATAGCTATTGGCACAAAATATTTCAAACTTCAATTGCATAGAAACCTTGTTCTTGTGGGAAGGCCAAACTGTGCGCCATCAATGTACAATGCACACTCAACATATAACTCAGGCCTCCTATCCTCTTCTGGGGCAACATTCTCTGCACAGAATTTTTTATATAAGAAATTTTAATAGAAATTTCTACATGGTAAAATGAACATAGCCATAAGCGGATAATGCATACTCAAGCATAATCACAGAAAAACACTTTCCCATACTGATCATATATTTGATATTCGATTATATCATTACAGTTACAGTCATCAAGTTTAGACTGATTGCTCAAATAATGTCGAACTCTATGTTTATATTGCCAAAATCCGTACGACCACATCAGCGAACGGATTATGTCAGTTCGAGCTCAAACTGAACTTTCGTGCATACATACGTCCAAACGAATACACAAATACTAGTGCCTCCAAACTAGAAAGTTAGTCGTTCTAAAATATCAATTCCAATCCACAAACATTCAAATATTAAAACGCAAAAGAGTGCAGGCATTACGATTCAATCGTCCAACGCTCGTGATCAAAGACACTCTTCCAATCCTCCAATTTGGAGTCCGAAGTTAAACAACCAAAAATCGAAATAATCTAAACTCAATTATCGTGGGACAAACATGGTAAAGGTACGGACAAGACAGGTTGGAAGAGAAAACTCACCTGAATTCGAGGACTTCCGAAGGGGCAGACTGCCTTCAAGCCGCTCAACCCGAAAGGTTACCGGAAGATTGATATCGCAAGACAAGAAGAAGCGAAATTCGTTGCCTGTCATGTGCACTACCTTCTTCTTCTCCAACTTCTAGGGTTTAGAAAGTGTAAATGATCATAGGTAAAGTTGAGAAACACTTCGTGATCGTCAAAACAACATCTTTGACACAAGGTAACAGAAATCAACTGATACAGATAACCTTCCTCAAGGACTGTTTGTTTATCTTTCCGGCTGTAGTCGGCCGGGACGGCTACGCATCGGTGGGCGCGGCGAGCTAACGAAGACGGTCAGGTGACAAATCTTGGCAACAAAATTTTATGTCACAAAAAAAAAAACAAAAACAAAAACAAAACAAAATTTTAATTAATTTCCATTTAATATGATCCAAAAAATTCAATTATCATTCAATAATTATGTTTTGAAGATTACGCCGCCGGTATATCATAGTAAAAGAAATTCAAATTTTAAGTATTTTTGTTTAATTGTCATTCAAAAAATTTAAGTAAAAAATTAATTATCAATCAATAATTTTGTTTTAATTATCATTCAATAATTTGAAGTATAAAAAAATTAATTATCATTCAGAAAAAATAAATCATAGTAGAAAAAAATTGGCAGAAGTCATTTTTTCTTTTAAGACAAAACATAGAAGTATTTCAAGTATTTTATATTTTACCCTCAATTTTAATTTGGATTTTATTCAGTTTTTCTACAGAGTTTCAATTATAAAAATATAAGGGAAAACCTTCTCTTCTACGGCGCCATAAAAAATTACATAATCTCATAACAATTTTAAAATATTCATTTATCCCTACTTGGCATGGGAAATGATTTTTAATAGAATGAGATAAGAAGTGGGAATAAAAAACAAAAATTTATTTGGTATGTCAACAAAATAAAATGATGATATATTTTTATTTGATATTTATAATTATAATATCTAAATACTATTTTACTTCAATTTTAAAAAATGATATGCTTATGAAAAGTGTGAACCCAAACAAGATTATGATAAAACACCATCATAATTAAATTAATAATTCATAGAGGTTGAGTTTATTTAAATTAAATTCAATTCAGCTCAGACTTGTTTAAATTAAATTTAAAATATCATATATTTAAAAAAAATTATGTAATTAAGTACGATTTTAATTTTTTTCTGGCTATTTTGAATTGGCCTATCAAGCTTGTTGAATAGAGTCTAAATTACCGGCTTTGCTGTATAGGCCCATATAATATCTTACATTTTAAAATCTATATAGTCAAACTAATGCTAACTTTTGTCAGAACGTTCGGCCTGACAGAATTATCAGCTCCAACTGTAATATCATTTAAAAAAAAAGACACAAACTAGCCACGAAGGAAGAACCCGGAGCTGGGTTGCCGTCGACATTGAGGAAGATAAAGAAAGAAGAACGCAAATCTAGGTTGTCGTCGACATTGAGGAGTTGCAGGAGCAGCGCCGATGTGAGACCATAAAAAGTTGTTATTATCCCAGTTTGAGAGATGGGAGAGAAGATAAAAAAGAAATTGTTTTATGTCCTTTAACCAATCGTGTCCCAAATAAGTATGCTTTTCGATTCAGGCCCAAAAAAAATAAGTTTGCTTTTAGAAGTATCCTATTCAAAATTGAGAGTTGCAGGAAGTCTCCATCTCACACTAAACCAAAATCTCAGATAGCTCCCCCGCCTTTTTCAAGAGTGATTCAAGTATTAAGTAAAAACTATCTCTTGACTCTATATCCCATAACTTTTACGGATGATATGGCCATTTTGGTGCACACAGGATGTTAATCATTGGACAAAAAAAAAAAAGAAAAATATACATTTTGATTCTTATATTTTACTCATATTTTATTATAAATTTTTGCATTTTTTTCAATATTTTGAATCCCTATACTTTTATTTTTTGGTGCTTTATATTCATTCAAGATCCTTATACTTTATTCATTTTATTCACTGAGAGATTTAGAATACTAAAAAATGAAAGTATAAAAACTCAAAACATAAACAAAAAAGTACAGAGACATAGTGAAACACAAATAAAGTGCAAGAAAGATATGTTTTTTTTTTCTAAAAAAAAAATATCAAAGTTACAAAAGCAGTGCTAGTAGGAGTAGATGAGAAAAGTTATTATTATCAAATTTGAGAGGAGCAAAATGAGGTCGGACAGCGGGGCAAAAGAATGGGCAATCAAGAAGTGAAGGTTTGCAATAGGGAGAGAAAAGAAGTGCAGTACTATCAATATAAATTTTATCCAGGAACATTTTAGATTGAAAAAAATCATTCCCAAGAGGCTATAGGAATGAATTCATTCTTATAGTTTCTGAATGGAATGGGGATCACTTCAAATGAGACAATTGAAATGACTTTTCCCATATACCAAACAAGGTAATGGATCATTCAATCTCCCATTCTCATTCCATCACCTTCCCTGCCAAGCAAGGCCTTATATGATAATCTTGTTAAAAGTAAAATCAATAATATAAATTTTAAAATGCAGTAGAATATTAGTCTCACGTTTTTCTGTAGTTTTGAGGTGAGTCATGTTGGCCATGACTTATCAATATTATGGTTTCTTACGAATGTTATATAGATACATAGAAGTAGATTCACCAAAGAAAAATATTTGAATATAGTATACATATCATACCAAATGTATATTCTGATGGGAGCATGTCATCATCCCTCCCAACCACAACTCCAAAAAAAAAAAAATTCTCCAAACAATAGCTTGAGGACAAGAACAAATGTAAAAATTTGGGGAGAATTGGCTAGTTATGAGGATTATTCAAAAATGAGATTAATTAGAAATATAAATGAATTGAAATCAATATCAAGGTCTCCTATGAAACTTGCAAAAGTCTGGGGCTCTACGTTGCATGAATGCTGTCTTTCCCTCGCTAGCTTCCTCAGTGCCATAAAATATAAGTGTTGCGTTTCCACCAAGTTCCTGTTTCACATCAACACAAGTTAAACTTCTTTTTTTTGGAACGAGAAGTGAAAACTTTCATTCAATCAAGGTAAAGAAGCAAAACGACCAGGGGGAAAAAACAGAGACAAGACAAAGCCACCTTTCATCATTCATCATCTCCCAAGAAAGATGGTTTATGATCATCAACAAAAACAAGAAGAAGCTTTCTCTCACTACATAAGGTTGGCTACATGAATTGTACGACATCATTGTGGTCTATCATTTATTAAGTTTTTAGAAATATTGTTAATCAAGAGATCTCGATTAACAACTTCCAAAAATATTCTCTTTGACTTTTCTCTACCCCTCTTGACAAAGTTCAAAGTTATATGTTCTACTATCCTCACAGGTACCTCTCGTAGTCTTTTTTGTATATGTTCAAACTATTTCAAAGATAGTTTATGATCAAAGATACAAAAAATCATCAACTAAGGTGTGCCCATATCTAGCTAGACTATCAACAAAACAATTTGAATATCTGCACGTTAAGTTAATTGAGACATTCCAATTCCTACTCAAGATGTTAATAGTATTAATAGTATCCTGAATAATATTGTTGTAAGGGTGATTGTAGCTTTGAAATCTGGTGATGAGATTAATAGCCTAAGCACAATTACAATAAACTTCAACATTAGTCCAATAAAACACACCAAAGAATACCAAAAACTTCAGCAATGGCACGATGGAAAGAACCCAGTTTACAACAGGAACACAAGTTAAACTTCATTCTGCAAATATTGCAACACTTTGTTTAGCAAAATCCTAATTAAACACATCCTAATAAGCTTTATAATTTGGTGTGTCTCAAAATGAGCAACGGCGAAGAGAGGGGAGGACTGAATAGGGCTATGGTCCATCAATTTTCAAGTTTTTCTTAACGTTAATAGTTGTTATATATTTTCAATCCGTCTAAAATTTAAACAAACTTTATCCTATATATATTTTCCATCTCTACTTCTCTCATAAACATTCTGTTTCTCACTTAAAAAGAAGAAGAAGAAGGATTTGAATTTTTCTGAGTGTCGCAAATCCTCTCCTCTAATGAGTATCTACACTACAGCCATAAGATTTCATCAACACCTGGAAATTTATACTTGAGCAGAAATAAATGAAATGGTGAATTAAGTGACAGTTTTATGATGATGCATTTCAACCATTTCTCTGCAGTCAAATAAATTGCTGGATTAAGATATATACAGTAAAAGGACTTTGGACACTTACCGAATCCAGATCCAAGACAAAGAGAGAAATAGAGTTTGAATTGTCTATATTATGCTCTCAAATATTGAAAAAGAATGTGACCTTGGGCAATTTCATATTCACCACCCCCCCCCTTTTCCTCCTTGTATGGATTGGATGCGTTGAAATAACTCCTTTCAGTATTAGGGCATAGAATGTTGAAAATTGAAATCTTGAATCCCAATATATACCTGAAGTCCAGCATGGCCATCATCCACTGCATTAAGAGCTGACTTGAGAACTCGTATCGCAGTTGGGCTATTCCTCAGAATCTCTCGACACCATTTTACTGTCTCTTTCTCCAAGTTTTGTAGCTGGACCAAATTGAAACATTACATATTCACCGTGAGTGTCAGGTTGGTGTCATCAGTGAAATCTGCATTGCTGCGTCAATAACTCATTAAACAGAAAAATTAACTTACAGGAACAACAGTGTTCACAAGTCCCATTTTCTCTGCTTCAACAGCAGTATAAAACCTCGTGAGAAACCACATTTCACGTGCTTTTTTGGGCCCCACCTGTAAAAAGATTCAGATTTTTTACTTTCATTTTGAATCCCACCATCTATGAACATGATATTCAGTACATATTTTAGTATATGGTGCTTACCAGACGTGACATGATGGAACTTCCATAACCAGCATCAAAACTTCCTACCTGCCTCGTGCATGAAACAGAAGACACTGTAAACTCATGAAGTTGTATCTCTATTAAAAGCGACAAATTTCTGTTTTCTCATCATAATAGACCACACCCTCTATTCTACATGTTTTTTATATGATTGAACTTGGGGCTATCTTATAAGCGATAACTTAAGCTATTTAATTAGGGCTCGTTAAAAGCTATAGTTGTCTTACATGCCTGATCACTTCTAGATATATGATACAAACTGTGTCTTAAATGAACAGGTAAACACTACAAGCACCTTAGGACCGGTTTGGCCAAATATAGCATTATCCGCTGCTATGGTTAGATCACAGACCATATGTAATATATGTCCTCCTCCAATAGCATAACCTGCTACCTGTATTTTAATGCCAGGAGAATATTATATATCTATATCCAACAAGAATCGCAAAGAAATGAACAAATTAGACATCATTTTGTTAACAGAAGTTTGAGGGGGTTTAAAGATCAAGTGCACCAAAAGAAAACGTAAATGCAAGAGAGACATTAACCATAGCAATCACTGGTTTTGGAAGACGACGGATCTGCACCTGCAAGAGAAGAATGAGGAAGGGCTAAACTTTTTTTAAAAAAAAGTAACATCATGATAAATACAGTTATCCGTCGAGAAATCAACTAATTTACCTGTAAGTCTAACACATTAAGTCGGCTAATACTTTCGAAATCAGCATAACCATCTTTAGTTCTCAAATCCTGGTCACCACCACTACAAAATGCCTTGGTTCCCTATAATGATATAAAACATCATGATAAAGTCTACAATAGTGTGAATATTAGTTGTCCTCATGAACAGGCACCAAAGATTCAACGTTGTCACTTTTTAAGATCGAAAAGACGGAGGGTTTTGGGACAAGATAGTTTCATCAACAATAGGTGGATGGCAAAATAGTACTGGAGACAACTGATTGCTATCATTTTGATTCCATGATATACTTATAATACCAATGTCTTCAATAAACTATACCTCATTTTGGCTTTTTGAAGATAATATGATATGATAGCCATATGTGAGTCCATAAACAGACCCCAAAAGAATTGAAATAAACAAGAAAGGGAGTTGAGAAATTAACATTGAAATTAATGTGTCTGATGGACACTACTGGTTGGGTACCTTCCCAGTGAGAATGATGACCCCAACAGAGCTATCATCTCTGGCGTCATTGAAAGCACGAATAAGCTCCTTAATGGTATGGGGTCGGAAAGCATTCCTTCTCTCTGGCCTATTAATGGTGATCTGCAAGAGTTGCCAGACACAATCAAAACGATGCCGATTCAACAACAAAAATAACTGCCAAAGGTACTGAGTTAGAACTCACCTTTGCTATAGCTTCTTCTTCAGCCTTCTCGTATACAATGTCAGTGAATTCCTTGCCAGATTCATCAGAAGCGATCCTCCTCCAAACCACATCATGAGAGGGAACGTCACCGTGAACCCTGTGGTAGCTATCTTTCATGGAAGTATTACACAATCCGACTGCCCCATTCTGCGAAAGGTGAAAGGGAACGAGATGGTTGGTTATCGAGGCCAGTCTCCTCCTCATGGTGTCAAGGTCCTTCTCTGCCATTGGAACTCTGGCTCTAACCCTCCTTGATTTGAGTAGTTATTAAGAGCTTTCAAAGACGAAAATGAAAGTTTTTGAACATTTGGAGGGGTATCGTAGAAAAATAAAGATTCATTTGACTTTGATATCAAAGAGATGTTGGACAACATGGAAATTAGCTTCTAGTCTCAGTCTGCGGTGATTTGGATAAGATAAGGTGAGCTGAGACAGAGACGGTAACAACTAACAAGTTGACAACAGTTAGCTGGCGTCTTAAAAAGAACGAAGCGAAATAGTGCGTTTTATTGCTTTACGTTCGCGCATTACCGCTGCGTTTTAGAAGCTTCACTTTTCCAATTTTTCTTTAACCGATCGCTCGCTGAGTCGAAATAAATAATTTCCGGAATTGAAGAAGGCAACGCATGAGGTTGAAGCTGGATTATTTGTGAAGAGCTTGCTGTTTTCTCTTCGATGGAAGCTATCATTTTGTTAATAAGCCAAATTGATTCTTTTTTTATTGTTCGAGTATTTTTTTCAGGTCCCGCGAGGACTTCACTTGTTATGCATTCCATGAATGATTATGTATTCAATCATACAAGAAATCATGAATTGAATTTGAGTGCCTTCACCATGAAATTTGTTATACGCATTAATCCTTAATGAAAGTAAGTGTTACTAAAATATGTACTTCTGAGCTCTGAAAGCTCGATACCGACAATGTGATCTCATCTCCTAAAATCTAGGATTTTTTTATTGCCCAGTAAAATAAATGACCAGCTCTAGCCTTAGGGTTAGAGAATAAAGTTAGTTCCATAGTATATATCGGCTCCCTTTTCTTTTCAGAATTTTGACCTCCGAAGTTTTTTCTTCCTTTTGATGTGATGGCGTTTTTAGATTTTCTTAAATACTATCTGGTGCCATGGATTTTCTGGATCAAGTGCCCTTTATTCGGATTGTAACCTTGATATTCATTATCCCTGAAACAATAAAAGCTTGCTCATTCCGATGATTCCAACTTCTTCTGTTCCCTCCATTTACTCTCTCTCTCTCTCTCTTTAAATGAATAGAAGAACATCTAATTTTTACTTTGACTAAAACTTAACTGGGCTAATTAGATTTATAAAGGTATACATACTAGTTTTTGTGGCCTGGTTCTGAAATCATGAACAGACATCTATCAATGTTTTTTTTCCACTTTACCCTCCTTATCCTGAAAGAGACAAAGAAAATATTAGTGATTAGTAAAATATAATCATACCTAATAGCAATTAACACATGATGTATCTTTCCCAGTCAATGGTTTTTCATGTCTGGTGTCAAGTGTGTTTCCCTTTTATTCATGGCCCGATTTGCTGGCTGTTTAAGTTGTAAATTTGTCTGGAAACTGATTTATATATTATTTCCTCACATAAAGCACTATATTTTGTTCTTTTAACTTCGTTTAAAACTCCATATCTCAAAATATGTCTTGATGATAATGATATTTTTATTGCAGAAACTGATGCAAGCACGCATATGTATCTCACACTCAGGCAATATGCCATAGGTACAAGGCTGCTTTGCCCACTATTCTTGGCCTCTAGCTAAATGCAGGGCCAGCAAACTATCATAATGGTAAATCGTATTGCCCTAATGACGAAAAATTCCCTATAGATTAGGACTTGCTAAAATATACATGCTTTACCTAACTGGCTAATGGTGTAAAGGAATTTTAGATCTTGCTATCAACACAGTTCATGATCAATCTGAACCCGATTGCTGGATGGCTTTCCAATATGTAGACAAGCAATTGGTGGTGTTGTCGGAGTTCTTAGTTCTCCAAAAGTCTGCCAGCAGAACGGATCATATAGGTGGTATTGTTCTTGAAGTGGTTTTAGCTCAATGGAGGTTAAAGTGACATCTGCACATGGCAGGCTATCACTGCAGGCGAAGTGTACAGGCTTAACTGTATATGTTCCTCTTATTCTTTCATAGTTGATTCCTGCAAGAGCCACAGCTGATGTCTGGTTTGTGCATGTCCTTTTATCACAATAGTATTGGTCGATCACAATTGGGAGTTGAACTTCAGAAACTTGTATATTTGAGAAGAGGACCCCCTGTACAGAGCCTGATCCACCCTGCAAAAATGTTATCTAATTTATAGGTGATAAAACATACTCATGAAGCCCTAACCTTGGAAGGGAGGGGAGTGCTTGGAATGAATAAAAACTTTGCAAAAGGTGATTGATCAACATCTAGTTGGATAATATCTTTCAAGAAGAGTTCAATTTGTACTGCAAACCAAAATCTGCATCTTTAACAATAATTTTGTTGATTTTTTTCTCGTTACCCTAAAGTTCTACATGAAAAGAGACGAGATGTTTCGAATTGTTCAGATTGACTTTTTGTGAAGTTATTTTTCACTCTAAAAGTTCCACTGGACCGCAGTAATCCATTGGAAGACCACCAATGCATTTGTAATAACAAAGTTATTTCTTTTAATTTTTCACTTATTGGTAGAAATAAGATTGCGCAGAAGTCATTTTCTGCTTGTAGGTCGCGGAGCAGTTAATTTGTCTTAAATCTCATGACTTGTAACCTTCAATTATATGGGGTTGTTTATATTTTACCTGCCACGTTTTGATTCTGACACCATTCATTGTGTTGTGCATGTTGACATCTCTGACAGTAATGTTTGAGACGCAGGCTCTTGTGTTATCCTTTCCTAAACTTCCAATGCTGATTCCATGCCCTGGACCGCAGTTGACATTGTGCACATATACATTTGAGCATCCAGTTTGTATGGAAACACAGTCATCTCCTGCAAAACAGTTGAAATTCGAAGCCTCACTTACCACTCATCTTGAACTAGATATGCCTATTGGTCTCTCTGGCGTGATTATCTGTTAAATAACTTGTTCTAGCTTGAAATGGATTTTGTGATGTGCTATATGTATCCTATGGTCTTCTAGATTAATAAGCGGGGCCTCCACTGGATAGTCGGCAAGGAGGAATGAGAAGCACTATGCACTTATTTTGTTGGCTAATACAAGACAAGGCTGTCATAAAAGGCACACATATGAAGAGTTCCTGTCTCTGGATTCAAAGAGTAATATAGCGTTCGATGATGCAGTGAGGATTTTTGACTCGACACGGGCCATATATAGATAGTGGTTGTAATACGTGATTTGTTGTGAGATTGTTAGTTGCCACGTGTCCAACCTCTCTGGGCAATGGATAAGGTAGATAATGCCATGTTCTTATTGAGCTTTATAAATCAACCATCTAAGCTTTGTTTTTCTGTTTCCTGTTTTTTTTTTAAAAAAAAAACATGAAAGTGTGCAATTAGTAATTACTGATCTGTAATTAAAGTATTACCGCAAGCTAATTTGCTGCTGTGAATCAAAACATCTTTGGAATTCTGAAGGTGAATTCCATCTGTATTTGGACTGTCGCCAGGAGATGAAATGCTCACATCATGGACCAGGACGCCATTGCAATTGTCAAACTTGAGGTGACACTGTTGGCTATTTTGAATTGTTATGCCTGTGACCGTTGGATTAATACTGCCATAAAACCGTAGTGCCTGTGCAAAAACAATAAAATCATTATGTCAACAATATTTGCTAGACATGAATCCCACTAGTTTTCTGAAACTTCCATAATATGGCCCTTACAGTAGGCTTGATGAATGGCATTTTCCCTCCCATCTCACTTTGAACCTGTAAGTACAGTTTGCAGAAGTGTGATCTATTAGCTTTAGAGGATGAGATTGAAATTACTATGTACTTGCATAGCTAAAAAGTTCTTATTACGGGCATTGGAGGCCTCTTCACTGTGTTGTTGAGTGGAACTATGAGCTTTTCTTCATCATCAATGGGATTATCAAAAGGGTGGTCTTGCCACCAGACTGAGCCTCTTCCATCAATGATTCCCTTTCCTTGAATGGTAATCCCAACCAGCTTGATGAAATCCAACCACTGCAACAATCCTCTGCCCCACGCCTTGGGATTTGTTGGGGCAACAATTGTTCCATCAAGCTGAGAAAATCTCATCACATTAGCCTTACAAATTAACTGAAGTGTCGGTGGCTAGTCTACAGTATGCACTAACACATGTAAGTTACTGTGTGCAGGCAAATCTAAAGTATTGTCTAGCTTCATCAATTGACGTGAAAGTTATTTAACAAGTGGCACTGACACTTGAGACACTTACACGATGAACTAGCTATTTTGTCTTTTACATATTGAAATTAACCAAGAATCTCTGGGGAGAATCCTATGAAAATTAAAAGGATAAAGAAGAAGAAGAAGCAGAAGAATAGGTGGTGCGTAATGCAAGATTTTTTAGTGTTACAATATGGCAGACGTATATATTGATGTTGTCTTCTGCTAAATCTTGATTACATGCATTTATCTTTTCACATGTACTTCGTTGTCCTGTACAACTGCTCTCTTTACTGCCTGTGTTTTCTGTTCTAACTTACTGGGTTACCTGAAAAACTATGTTGGGCTTGCAGAATGGACCAGAGAAGGAAATGGGTCCCACAAGGAAGACGTAATCTGCTGGGATGAGCATGGTTGATGCCTGTGCCTTACATGCAGCCGCCCATGCAGTTTGAAATGCCTGCATTGCATCGAAGCTAATATTATACATTACAGCAAGTAAACCATATATAATATATGCTTTAAGCAATGATGTTTTTATTTTATTTTATTTTATTGACCAACCTAATCAATGACGTTAGGTGTTAGTTTGTGTGAATTTTTAACCGCTCTTTTGGGAGTTACGATTTAACCCTTAATTGCCGTGACGAGAATTATTTTCATGGTCATCGGGGCCTTCCCTTGTTGGGTTGTTCTGTGTCTTCTTCCCCTTGTATTCATCTCTAACTGTTTAACTTTCGTCCATAAATTTAATCAAACAAGGTCATCTCTTTATTCTACAAATATTATATATGGTGATAAAAATGGGCTATATTATTTAATATTTTACATTTATCAACATGCAGTAAATTTTCATTTATAACTATTATTAATTCCGTTTTCAGTTTGTCACACAACGAACATGAACAGGGACAGAAAATATTTATTTTGCTTCCTATCCCCTGGTGGCATAAATTATTCTTACCACTGCTGCCAAATTTGCTAGGTGAAAATGAAAGAACCCCTAATTAGAGGTTAGAGAAGGAAAAAAGATTCCTTCTTTCTGACTTGGGACACCATCGTTTCCAAACAAAAGAGGCAATCTCTCTGGGCCCAATTTCGTCTGTGACTAAATTAATAATTTAGCCTTCGAATTTAAGTTTATTTATTTTTTATGCCAAAAAAGAGTTGTGAGTGTATGTATTAAGTCGATGCAAATAAATGTTTAACTCTTTCGGCACTCAAGCCAGCAAAAATTCTCGAAATTTCAAGATCCCTGAATCCTAACTCGAATGCTGAATAGCGTATATACATTCTAAGCGTGAGAAATATGAGATTTCCCCCTGAATTCTCAAAGACCATAGAATTCAGTGATATATGGTATGAAGAATCTTAGTCTGTGATGCGAACTTGTGAGCAATTTCTAAGACTAGATGGGAATGAAAGAACTTACCTGTGTATCATCGGCTTTCCCATCGCCCTTAGCTCCAAAATCTAGGACATTGAAGATGGAAGAATGACCCACATTGTAGCCTTTTGGTGGCGAAGCTGAAGGAGTACCTTTCTTTGGCTTGGGAAATGGTGGTGGTGAAGTTGATGGTGATGGAGTGATTTTATAACGTGGAGGAGCCTTTGGTGGATGATGCGGCGGCGGCAGCGGCGATGAAGGAGGCTTTGGTTTTGAATGTGATCCTCCTCCATGGTGGTTGTTGTGTTTATTTCCATTACTATATCCTTTCTTCTTCTTGTACAGAGAAGCTGACACATCTCTGTTTTGCCTCCAATGCTTGCCTCTTCTTGCAATGCAGGCTTCAAAATTGGAAGACCACACCAGAAATCCAATCAAAACCATAAATGTGAAGCCTCTGAAACTAAATTCTCTCATTTTTATTAGTTAAATGGAAATGTGAGTTCTGTGTAGAGAAGAAAGACAAACTGAGAGAGAGAGAGAAGAGAGACAAACAGAGCTTCTTTGCATTGCCAAACACAAACTAGTGACATTTATATTTATACAAGGGGATGGACTTGAAAGCTTAATACGACTGTGAAGGAAGACAAAGCTGTAAATTATTCTTAATAATAGAAGGTATGCATGCTTCGTTCTCCTTTTATTTTTTTTTAATTTCTTTCATTGATCAGTCTGTTTTACTTTTTGTGATTTTTGGTAAGAAATGAACTGCTTTCCTTTTTGCCACATAATCCAAAAAGTCATAACATGTGACCAATCTAATTGGTAGTGAGATGAGGTTATTATTGCCTTTTCACCATACATAGATGCCCAGCATAATTATATCATTGGATGAATGCAGAGACCAAAACTACCACTTGTCTTGTCCATCAACTTCGTCTTCATTTTCCCACCTTAACCCATTATTAGCATCGTCGGTTATTTGATAATCCACACCAAGATTTCTTCAACCCTCTCCAAACCATGATAAATTGCAGAACAGAGGGTGTAAGAATTAGTTGTTCTAATTCCAAAACATGTATGTTACATACGTTGTTTTAGTTATTGATTCGTGTTAGTTGAGTCAATCATTGTAGGTGAGAGTAAATTTAAGTATTAGGGATATGATCGCATTTTGCGCTGCTCGCTTCCTTGATGGAATTCTGTGCGTGTGTGTGAAATGGGGTTGCATTAATTTCTGTAATAAACAAGATTTGATGGAAAGGCCAAAATGATACACGTGAGTGGGTCTAAGAGATGTCAAGCGCGCTGATTATAACAGCTCTTTATTATCACATGCAGCCTTCACGGGCCAAAACTTTTTGGTGCTTTGTCTTCTTAAGCCACACACCCTCTTTAGATCAGTTAGATTATGCTCATATATTCACAAACATGCGCTTGGAGGGGGGGGGGGAGAGAGAGAGAGAGAGGCTCACTTCTTTTCTCAAGGTATTCAAGAATTCTATTACTAAAAAGGTTGGACTTAATTAAAAAAATTAGTCCCTTGAATTTTTATTGAAAGTGCCTGTATTTAATATTGAGTAAAGGTACAAACTTGATCATGTATTATTTTTTGTGGAATATATAATAGTCTAAACTATTAAGTGGTGCGAAATAACTCACAAATTTTAAAAAATGAGCATTCAGTAGCTCGCCTTTATTTTCAGCTGATGAATATTATGTGAAGCACATAATAACACGTGGCACTCCACATCAACATGTGTAAATGTATAAATTTTGTCGCGAACTATTTTTTGATAAGTATTGGATAGCCTCTACTATAAAAATAGACCATTCAACATCATCTCATTAATTTTGATCAAACATTATTTATTTTCAGACTTATGAGACCTACAACGCATCAATCTCTAATCTTTTTATCTTCGTTCTCAATCTTAGCTCAAAAAAAGATGTTCAAATAGTTCTTATCTAAAGATATTTAGGAATACAATACAAACAAAGTAGAAAAAATTATTCATGACTAAATTAAGCTGGAATCAAGCTTTTTGCATGTGTAGTAAAATTAAGCTTTTATTTCGTTGGCATCATTTTTTTAAATGTTTTTAAATAAAAACTCTTTGAACCTCTTTTTCTCAAGCTTATATTGAAAACAAATACAAGAAGATTAGAGAGATTCACGCTTTGTGAGTCTCATAAGTATAAAAAAAAACTATGTTTGATCAAATTTGAGAAAAAAGTGTTGGATGGTTTATTTTTTAATGGTAGATATTACCCAATGTTCCTCAAAAAATAGTTCATAACTAAATTTATACTTTTACACATGTTAACATGGAGTGCTATATGTTATTGTGAGCCTCACATAACATTCATCAACTGAAGATGACGGTGGACTACTGGATACTCTATTTTTTAAAGTTCGTAATTTATTTCGCACCACTTGATAATTTAAACTATCAGATACTCCTTGAAAAACAGTACATGATCAAACTTACACATTTACCCTTTAAGATTCTATTGTACCTTAAACATATGCACAATAAAAAGAGAAAGAAAGAATTCTACTCTTGATGATCTATGAATAGTACGCATTTCATACATAAATGTACAGATTGTTCTTGGATCTATCATATGCAATCAATCTTATGGCTATAGTGCAAAAATTTATTTGTTAGCCGATTTCCTCCAATTTCGGCTTGTTATTTGGAAAGTGCGTACTTGCTAGCGAGCCAAAGGAGGTTTTTAATTGTTAGGCATAAAAAAGTGAGTTGAATAAATAAAATGAAAGCTGAAAGATTACAAAAGGAGTACTATGAGAGTACACAGTTGCAGATCATAGAATCATATGAAAGGAAAGGGTTTGAATGGAAAATCAAAACCTCCATACGCCCACAGATTTGAAACAACATGGTTTATGTTTGTTATTTTTATTTGCAGGATATCTTTTTCTGTGCCCACTGAATAGTAGAAACAAAAGCAAAAGTACCACATTTTTTGTTTCCTGGCCGAACTAGGGGACAATATCACAAGGAGAAAAGGTCACAGAAATAAACAAATGGACCAGAAAGTTTGCTCCATTTTATATACTCATGCATCACAAGTTTGAGAGTTTGGATTTGGGCAATGATTGTGAATCCCTTGCTCTTGAATGGATTGAATATATAATTGCTCACATCCTTGATTTTGATCTATAATTGCATATATAAATAAGGGGGAAAACTTATTTGGTGGTTTTTTTCCCTAACCTATTGTGAACAGTCATTGTTTGATGAGCATGGTGTACTCATAGTTAATCTAAATTGATTATATTTTAAATAAATATTTATTTTAATATAAGCATAATATTAAATAAAAATAATCCCATGATTGTCACTTTTTTAAAGAAATTATCATTTTAAGAAATTAAATATTAAAAATTTTAAATCTAAATGACATAAATTACATATGTACAGTTCAAATCTCTTCGTAAAATGATGAGTAATCAATTACCGCCCCAAACTAAGTCAATTCAAAGATTTTGAGTTTGATTTTTGTTAGCATTCTTGATGATTATTTTCTAAAGTTGAAATAACCTATGTCTATTAAACTTTCCTAGAATTACTATTGGCTTGAAAATATAAGGTATGGGCATGAGGGTGAAGTATCATATGCAATGATCAAAGATTATGGGCTTGTGTTATCATCCATGGCATGAACTGCTTGGGATTAAATAATGTCGGGTGTCTCAGTCACATATTTACGAGAATGCCACCGCTTGAAAGCCCCCATTCACTCTAAAATCTGAATCGCCATCGCCTAAACTGTTCACTGCCATCACATGTCCCTTTCCCTTCCAGATTTTGCCTCAAACACCAATCTTCTTCTCATTAATGTGTCACTACATCATGTAATGTAAAAAAATATATAATAAATTGACCAATGAGTAGTTCACTTAACTAAATGATTGACATGAATTATATAAATTTTAGTCATTGAAGTAAATAGTTAAAAGTTTAAATCTTAGTTCTTGTGTATATACTGTGTAACAGTTTAGTAAAAAAAAATTAAATTTTATTATGTTACTATGTAACACATAAAAAATAAGTTTCGTAAACAATAAATAATATCTCTCTTGAGGTATTGAGATTATGAAAGTAATGTGTATATATCTCCCAACTAAATTACTATATATACAAAAATTAGAGTCCAAATCCCATCACTTGTTTAAATGATAATAATTTCTATCACTTGCTATAACTTTAGGTAATGAATATACATCTAATTTAAGAAAAATGACTTTAAGATTTCAAAACAATGAATTTATAACAATTAGGTCCCTAGTAGAATTTTTTATAAAATTAATTATAAATATTGATTCAGACAGTTGCAAATTCAAAAGTTTTAATTATAATTAAGATATTTAAATTAGAAATATAACTCGTAAGTCACAATTGAAAACTTGCTTGTAATTGTTTAGGTCAATATTTGTAACTTATTTTTAAAAAAATTGTTAGAGATCTAAGCATAATAAATTGTCTATTTTTAGACTTTATTGTAATTTTCTCCTTAATTTATTCACCATCATCCTCTCCAATGCTATATTAAGTCACACGTGTTAATCTCAATCTCTCTCTCTCTCTCTCTCTCTCTCTCTCTCATATTCTAGTAAGACTCACACTTTGGGCTCTCAAAAGTGAAATAATTACACTACAAGCCCTTTTAATTTTAAAACAATCATCCAAGCTGAATGACCCTCTTTGCAAATAACATTTTCACTAAAAAAATTGCCCTTGATTTTCAAATATATGTTCGCATATTTAGTACCAAATATTCATTTAGTTAGTAAAAATTCATATATTCACAATGATATGTTCATATATTCATTAACATAAGTTCATCTATTTACAATTATAAGTTCACATATTTATAACTACAGTCTCACATATTCACTAGCATATATCCACACACAAGTTCAGGTTTCTAATTAGCAAATATGTAAACTTATTATTGTTAATATGTGAATCTATACTTATAAATTAGTGAATGTCTAGTAGTAAATGTATGAACATATACTTGTATCAAGGGCATTTTCATCTTGTCAATGAAAATTTTATTTGTAAAGAGGACCCTTAGGTCTAGACAATTATTTCACAATTAAAAGGGCTTACAGTGTAATTATTTCATGGCTCTAAGTGTGATTCTCCTTATATTCTAATTATAAATTCCATCTTGCTAGGAAGAACATGCATATTAATTATTATTCTCTATTATTTCATCATTTTGCGCGTATACAGTTGTGCGTATTTGGTTATTTGAGAACACGGGAGACCCTGCATATGTATACCTTTTTGTATAATTGTTTATAAGAATCTTTATTTTATGCTGATAAAAAAAATAGTTGAATTACAAGTGCACTAAGAAGAGTTGTGCTCGTTTAATCAAAAATTTTGAATTCAAATCTTAAGAACTCAGCAGTGTAAGTGACCAAGGGCACTGAATCTTGTGATACTTGTCATATCTCGATTTGAATTAATCTAGACTTTGTTAAATTCTCATAACTTGAGTGAGACAAGCCCA